TGTAGAATTTATATACATTGGGATGAAGAGAAGAGAAAAAAAGTTAGCATCGATCTTTAAACCTCTTTGTTCGCAATAATAGGATGTTAATCTCCCATTCATCACCTTAAAAACCATACCAAACAGTTCCTTTTATGGGCTGTAAAGATGCCCCATGAATAATTTGTGCATTTTGCTAAGAAACAACATCGCAACGTAATGAAAAACGCTACGCATTATGGCTTACACAGATTTGCCAGGTCAAATCTAATCAATCACAATAATCGATATGAATAAAAATTCCTAAGCAGATTATAAGTTTTACCTCTTCAAAGTCTTTTGTATGGTTTTTGAAAAATAGCTACAGTAATAAGTGTATATATATGGTAAAGAGGGGGAGGAGTGAGGGGCAAGTGCCATTCTTTTCTCTGCAGTCAAAGCTTGGAAATTTCTAGAAGGAGGAGGGCTACGGTGTTCCAGTTAGCCTAATCTCTAAGTCCCGCCGGCTAAGCTTTTGTATGTTAACTTACAAGATCTTCATTTCTATTGATTATCTAATTTATTGCAAAAGTGATTAATGGGAACCACGTCATCTTCCGTTACGACAATTTGAGGCCACCGCGTCTGTTTTAAACGACTCGGCACAAATGCAGAGAGCTTAGTTGGGAAGTTCCGATATATCCACAGCATAGCTACAAGTAGGATAGAAATAGACCAAACACTTCAACAAGCCCATGATGATACCATAATAACTTCATCAGGAAAATAGAAAAAGTCAATCTAAAACTCAAAGTATAAGAAAAATTTAGTTGAAGTTTTATAAAAAACGCTACGAACATTTTTCTTGACGCGATAGATTGTTTAAAAATTTACCTGCGACAGAATATCATTGCGAAAAGTGGATAGCGTTATATAGAGTTAGTTGTATACCGCAATCAAATGAGTCATCACTTTAAGAATTTCCTAAATATATTCTAGAGAAAGCAAAGTCCAGAAATTACAACCCGTGGCCAAGTGAACCTTAACACCATTCTACGCAGAATGAAATCGTTAATATCGTACTATTATCTGTAATTAGCAACTCGAAGCATAGCAAAAGCACTTAAGCGTTGGATGCAACTATAATTAAAAAAAGACTTTGGTTTTATCGGGAGATTAAAGATGCAGTTTTCAACAGCCTTTATATGAAAGGCCTGCACAACAAGATATAAATTATTTGTGTGTGTGTGTGTGTGTGTGTAATGAATGACTGCTAATGGAGAATTGCATTATAAAAGGATTTTATATGGCTTATCTGGGTTGATTTGTTCCAAATGCATATGATAATGACGATGGAATAACATAAAAAGAAAGTAGAAAAGCGAAAGTAACACAAACATAAACAAAAAAAAAACCTAACAATTGAGATACTAAACATGTGTTAGAACAAACTTCTAAGATCCGTCTTTTTTAAACAGAATCAACTCCACCCGCCAATGCTTCAAATAATTATTTTAAACTTTTCCTACTCTGTTACAATTTATATACAAAATTTAATTGTTGAATGTTCTAGGCTCAGTTTCCACGTCGCAATCTACCTTTTTTCTACCGAGAGAAAGAAAATGGGAATAAAAGAAGAAAGAAACAGAGCGAGAGAGAAAGAGAAAAGGCAGATATTCCACTAATCTAAGTTGTGTACATAAAATATATGCGATGTATCTAAAGCATACTCTTATGCATTAGAAACGTCTGACGACGTTACAAAAGAATGTTTTACGATTTAACCCATTCACTGCCAACTACGCGCTACAAGTTTAGATAGATAGATAAATAAAATCTTGGCATCGAGGAAAAGACGAGTTAAATTTCCCTGATAGCGAAAGGGTTAAAAAGCAATCACATTTTTTCATCATTAAGCAGATTTTCTATGTTAACATGCCTTAAAATTATTCAAGAAGACGAAAACTTTTCCAAAGTCTAAGTATTACTTATTGTTATGCAAAATCCTATGTACCTGTGTGCCTATTAAACTCATGTGCCGTTAGTGAGTGAGCGTAAATAAACCTGCACTACAAGTGCTTAAAAATAGAAAGAGAAATGAAGGAAAATGTATAAGTAGACACACACAGCCACACAAGCATATATATAGATAGTTATCCTGAATTTAAATACTTATTATTGTGAATGCATACTTAAACACACAAAACCTAACGAGAGCACACTGATTTCCTTCTTAAAAATCTTACTCGGCAATATAATGAGAAAATACTTTCTGAACTTTCAAGGAAATTGAATTCAAAATTATCAGAGAGAATTCTAAGTATCTATGCGTATGCATACGTTTTTATATGTCTGGAAAGCAGCACTGCCAGCAGATAAACGCAAGTGTGAAAGTACGTAGGCTGAACGTAACGTAAGACAAAACAAATACATGTAGACTTTTACACCGATATGTTAAAGCATTTTATATAAAATGCGTAATATTTCTTGTGAAAAGGCAGTACACAGACACAGACACCATCAACAACAACAACCACGACTTAAAATATAAATATTAAAGAATAATACCAAAGGAATATCTTTCTTATTTGCACTGCTTGTGAATTTGATAGAATATCAATAATAAACAAGGAAAATATATTCAAAAGCGTTCGAATTTTTTATACCCACCGCCATCACAATTATTGAAAAAAAAAAGAAGTTTTAAAAGTTTATAAAGTTAAACAGAATTTGACGATTTTTTCCAATTTTGTTTTCTAGCAAGGCCAACAGAATAATATACGTAAATACTTTTATCCGTGTATTTGTTTATTGCAAGTTATGACTAATGAACGAAAAACCCAAATTTTTATCCTTCTGCATAGAAACATACTTTGACTTTGATTACTTTGCTCTATAGGTGGGTGCTTTCTCTAACCGATTTGGCTGTGAACTGCGTACAAGAACTTCCAACGTTTACGGTAAATTTAAAAGCGATATCTTAAGTATTGCGATCAGTACAATTGTCATCACATCCATTATACAGACGGGCAGGTCGAAAAATCTATAGTTTACAACGCCCCTAAACCCATCCATCCATCCTTCAATAACAGATGTAAAAACCTAAAGAACTAACAAACAAGATAAGCGATGATCTATTCACTGGGCGTCCACTGTATCGGGCATATGTTAATTATTACATTATAATTTTCTAAATTTTGTCGGTATCCCATAGTTAGTAGACCAATTCTTATTCTCTAACAATATTTAAATATTTAAGCTTTATGAACTATTATCTGTTATTAGAATAAAAATGTCCAGCGACCTGTCGAAATGTAGAACCGAAATATGTGATGTGTATAGTCGTTCTCATAAGTATGCTTACATGGCAGGGTAATCAAAAAGATAAGGAGACAGAGCCTATTTCACTGTTGTTTACCAAAGTCATATCGTAAATATCGTATTTATATATAACGCGGCCTAGAAAATCAAATCGTTTATACTGTGTTTCTACCAATATTACAAACTGAATGACAAAAAACCGTTCCTGTTAGATAGGGAAATGCAGCTGTAAATCGAGCGATAAAAAATACTCCACGCTCGTGCCACACTCAAACATTCATGTTGGTTTGCACTATTCGCAAGCATACGGCATAAACGAAACGCAATGACTAACAAGAAATGCAATCATTAAAACAGCAAAACAACTCAAAATGGTACAAAAAGTGAGCACGTGAACGAAATTCTTATAAATTGTAAATAAAATGAAACAAAAAATTTACAATCCAGTTGCACGTGCATTTTTCTTGCACTCTTTGTAGACGTATTTGCTATGTAGATTTCTTTAGGATTTTATTGAAACTTGATTCCTACTCTTTCGGCCTTTTGGAATCATGTATATGAAAATACCTATTTAAATTTTCTTGATAAAATTTTTATTTTCTAAATAAAAAAATTAATAAATAAATAAAAAGATATAAACATTAAATGTACTTTCCAACTGTCGGCTAAATACAGTTTTGACAACCATAAGAAAACAAATTGACGACCGTCGTTATAAGAACAACGCCGCCTTCCAAGCTTTATATGAATATAGATAAGAAGTTCGGCAAGAGCGAGTGGTTTTATATGGCTAAGTTTACAATCGATATCAGCGAACCGATTCAATGAACCAATTATATTTTTCCAACGATTTTGATTTCATATAGTAAATGAGCAGTGAGTAATTTTTGAACTTCAATCCTTATGACAAAAACACACAAACCGGTATTTTCACGTATCCGAATCGAGAGTGCGCAAATATAATGGCGAAACGAATAAATACAACACTTAAGAAAATATTAATAATAACCTGTTCAAATTTTTTACATAGTCTGATGTTCACTGCTAATTTTTTTTTTTTTTTTAGTTCTTTTTAATAATACCTGGTAGGTCTTTATTTTTTACTGCGCGCTTAACACCTCCCGCGTTTAAATCGGTCGTACATATGGCAACTCTGTTGTGACACATGCAAACCAACAATAAAAATTATTAAACAGCTGCAACGCTCGAAAGTATAAAAACACAGAATCGGGGGCCGCCCCCCCCCCCATTTTTTTTAAAACAAGTAAACAACATTTAATGTTGTTGTTATTGGAGCATTAGTCATCCAATACAAACAGTGGGTCGAATACATACAATCTACAAACAAGCTATAAACGTTATCGCTTGTACCGCACCCCTCTAAATAACTATAAAAAAGCATTGAAAGAGACCAATACAAGCGAATTTGCCAGAACTGTTTAATAGGCAACAGTTGTAGCCCTGCAAAATTAAAATACTGCACATATGTCCATTTGCAGCAGTCTGGAATTTCAACTAGCTTCCGCCTTTAATAAGCAGCATGCTTTTCTTAAACGCACAGAGGATTGAAACAGCCAAAGAAACGAGAAGAATTGAAACAATATCGACTGCGTGATTCAAATGTACATATCGGCCGCCTTCTCTCTTCCTTTTAATTTTATTTAAAGTCAGATTTCTTAAATAATTTTTAATCTTTAAATTCAAATAGGAATATCACTTACGTTTCAAGATTATCTATAGATTCCCAATTTCTCTAACAGAAGCCGCCATTTGAGAGCGTACACTTAATCGATTGTTTGCAAAGTTGAGCTAAGCGGCGACGATGTCGTTATCCTCACCAATACAAACATTCAGTTTATACAATTGCAGTACGCTAAACTCACACATACAAGATGTGTGCGTACTCTTTAGTACAAGCAATAAATTCGGCTGCTTGTTTATTCTATTTTCACACGTTTTTTCTTTTTTCGTCACACAAAACACAAATGCATTTATTAACCACACATTTTATCGTAATATATGTTTCCATAAATTTAATTGTCAGGTTTCTATTCTTTTTAATCTTAACACTTTTATTCTTAATATTAAATTCTTTCTTTTTTATTCTTAAAAGATCTCTTCCATCCAAACGCGGCTTCCATCCATACCAAACAATCCAAACAATTACAACGCACTGACCAAATTAAGAACAAACGGAACGGTCTATTTCATTCTTAATTAATTCCGATAAACCAATAAAAAAATACGCCAACGCTACCAAATGACCGCATTTCTATGTTTTGCAGAGTTCCCAGATCCTTTGCATTGTATGAAAATAAAATTAATGAAATGCTTGTCACACAACAAGTCGGCTATTATAATGCAATTAATTTTTCATATAATAATTTAAGTCAAGCGCCAAAGAAGCTTTGCAAGAGGAAAAAAGCTATTGTGGCATTTTGTGGATATAACAACTATTTTGGATGGCATTTGTAGATATAACAAGTATTATGGATGGCATTTGTGGATATCGCAAGTATTGTGGATGGCATTTTGATCAGAATTAATGCAGAATTTATGCAGAAATTGTTGAGTTTTTTTTGTAAACAATGTAAAAGAGAATTTGAATACACGAATTTTTGAAATAAAATAATGTGCAATTGTGACTACCAAACAATTTTCACTTATCCCAGTTTTACACTGGTTAGATGGTACTAGAGCTAAAAAATTTTGGATTCATTTAAATATGGTCTCCTCGCCGATTTTAAGAACAACTTACTTTCATTTACGTTGTACGTGTCCTCTTTCTCGATCTAAAAACGATCTGAAGCTTCTCCTAAAAAGAATGTACAAAGTTAGGGTTGTTAAAAAAAGCCTATAAAGAGCAATTTACTTTCTGAGATGGAATTGTCGTCAACAGCTACCTTGATTTTTTCCTCCAAATTTGATTTCCACTTTTTTTTAAATTCACGACTACAATTACGTTTCGGTTTCTCCCGTAATATAGATAAAGGGGACCGCTCCAAATTTCTTAATTTCTTTCTTAATTTGCTCTCAGGCGATGCTGTAGGACTGTTAAAAGGCGTTGTAGAAAAGTCCTCAAATATAATATCTACTATTGTTTTCTTTGTGTTGTCACGACGAGCTCCTTGTGGTTGCGTCCATGTTGTTGTTTACTTCTTTCATCATAACTTCCACTTCATTGCAACATTCGATTAACTCTTCATCAGTGATAGCAAACGTTAAGAAGCTAGGCGAACATATATTTTAAGTGTATTTATGTATGATAAACATACATCTGTATATGTAGGGAGAAAGTCAAAGATGATGCAAAGCATTCTTTTCAATATCTTTTTCAAATTGAAGATTTCAGAAGTTTATACTTGTTAAAAGTTTCAATAAATTTTAGTACCAATGTTCTATGTATTCTATAGGCATTGTTGCTGGACTTAATCCTTAAAAGGTTGCCTTTCTTATCAGTCGTTGACATTTAAATTGAACACATGAAAAGAATAAATACCACCACAAAATAATTTTAACTCATGTCGGCCTCGAAGAGTTTCTTACCTTCCTACTGGACTTTGCCGGTTTTGGTTTTTATGTAAACAAACAAATAAGAATGCGCGGTATGTGTGAAACCATCAATTACAGAAAAAAAAAAAAGAAAAAAAGGTTGATTGATGTGAGAAATTGAGGTGCAGGGTATATTACATTTATGTTGGTACCGATCGATTCAGGAAATGAGTTTATACTTGTCAGCCCCTTTGTATGTCTGATCTCAGTGCACGTATTCTTGTGATCAACCTACCAGTCGCAATTTTTGTATTACTTTGATGAAATTTGGTAGACTGACGCGTGTTGGCCAAAGGACGAACGCTATTAAATATGATTCAGATCAGAGCACTTTTTCGACCGCTCCTCATAAAACGCCTTATCTTCGCTTACATTTTTAATCAGAAAAATTATAGAAATGATTAATATATATATTCATTGGGGTATTTTTACATCCCGATAGTTCTGGTATTAAAATCCAGTAATCGTCGTCCCAAGTAAATGAATCTTTATTGTCCTCCCAATCTTATCAGACACTACTTACTCTTAACGCTAGGCTTATTTTCGTTTTTACTATATTCTCCACCATGTAGTTTACCCAAAAATAGTAGAAGGACTAGGACTTGTATGTGAACTTTTATTGTTTGGACCCGCGGAGTAATCTATATCAGGCATTTCTTTCTTATCACCCTCGAAGATAACGCGACGATTGAATCCATATTGTAGTCATTAAAATTGGTTGTTTGGGTTAAGTCATATTATATAGCATATGATTCTCATCACGTATAAGTTATGAGAAAAAAAAACATCTTAATAGATTCATTAAAAATTGAACTGTTGGCTGAATGCGGAGAGGTCAGAAAGTTGGGTACATTACGATAAGATTTACGCGGTTGTATGTGTTGATCTAGGAATTTCATTTTTTCTAAATACGGTCGCGATAGATGCTCACATATGACTTCGTTGGACTTTTATTTTTGAAGTTATATTAAGTGGTTCGTTTTACTCCTTGCTGACCTTAAAACCACAAGATTGTTCGTGTTATTGGTGAAGTAAGAGGAGATTTATTGAAATCATGAGATCAAAAAAAATTAAGTTGATATCTTTCACCGTTTTACTTTTATTTCAAACTAACAACAAAAGCTCTTATTTGATCAACCTATATATATATATATATATATATATATATATGCGCGGGTGCAGAAGTAAAATGCAAGTAAAGTTAAAATAACAATACCGGATTAATCAACAAACTTACGTATATGCTTTCATAACCACAGCAAGAATTTTTTGTTTGTCAACGCTTACTTCATATTCAAAAAAGAAAAAGACAAAGAGGCAAGTCTACAGAAAAGGAACTATCAAATTCTTCATATTAATTCATTTTCTATATTAATTACACATAGTGCTATCCTCCGTTAGCCAGTTGGTTAGTTAAACATCAGAAAAATGTTCAACACAATAATATTTGCTCTACTGAGTAGCTGTTATACTCTATTAATACAAGCAGAAGGCAATGATACATACGATGGACCTGAACCTGAACTCGAGGGCCCAAATATATGTAAAAAGATCGGGAGTTATAACGTTGAAGTTATTACCACCGAAATGCAAAACTACCAGGTGCGCACGCCTTCATGGTGTCTATCGGTGCCGCCGCGCTGTGCCGCTTACAGTTTCAAAGAGCGAATCGTTAATAAGACGCAATCCATAACTAAATCGCGCATTGTTAAGGAGTGCTGCAAAGGGTACAAACGTGCAGGCAGTCTTTGCCAACCCGATTGTATGCCCAAGTGTCAACATGGAGCATGCGTGGCGCCTAATAAATGCGTATGCGATCAACACTATGTAGGACCTGTCTGTGACATAATTTGCAAATGTAAAAATAATTCTTCCTGTGATCCCCAGACGGGTCGTTGCATCTGTTTACCTGGATGGACCGGTGAGGACTGCTCTCAACCTTGTGAGGAGGGCACTTATGGTATGGGCTGTAAAGACAAATGCCCGAATGTCGTCCACAGCAACAAAAGCTGTCATCACATTACTGGTGAAATTGTTTGCCGTGATGGTTATATCGGTTTGGCTTGTGAACATCCTTGTCCAGCTGGTTATTACGGGTACGCTTGCACTAAGGCGTGTAGTTGTGCAAATGGCGTTGGGTGCAATCACATAACTGGTACTTGTCGATGCACGCCAGGCTGGACTGGTTTAAGTTGCAATGTATCATGCGAGGACGGCTATTTCGGTACGCACTGTGCGCAGAAATGCCGTTGTCTAAATGAAGCGAAATGTCGTAGAAATGATGGACGATGCATTTGTCAGGATGGTTGGATGGGCCAACGTTGTGAAGAATTATGCCCTGATGGATTTTATGGACCACACTGTATGCTACTTTGCTCATGTCCGTCGCCCAATTTTGCTTGTGATGCCATCCAAGGATGTAAATGCCGTGACGATTTCACTGGAGAAAATTGTGATGTTCCTACTGTCGGACAACATATACAAGGAGCTAATTTGCACTATGCCCACGCACGTATAGCTTGGGGATCAGCCTTAGCCATATTATTTGCAGTCATTATTATAGTAGTGGTTTGCTATTATCAGAATCAAGTGTCTAATTTAAAAACAGAAATTGCTTATGTGCAGTACACAGGTGATCCCACTTGCCCGGATCATCGCAATTTCAATAATCCCGCATATGGTTTGGCAAACATACATGGACGTTGTTTGCTCAATAACGTAAAACCAAAAATCAATAACGTCAGTCGTGGTAGAACTGAATTCTATATTGAAGACTCATATGCCAGCAGCAAAGACGAAGCTGCCTCCTATCCAATTAATTATAATGATGTTATGTTAGCTAAAAATTTAAACTTTGATTTAACAAACCTTAATCTCTACAAGTCACTGAACTTCTCAAAGGAGGAACATGAACCCAGAAAGATCTTTAAGGAACCCATCAACAATTATAAAAAGATTGTGTTTCCCGATAATAAGGAATCAAATGCAATCAATCATATACGTATTCATAATCAACAGTATGAATGTGATCACTTGGATAATTCTCGACCTAGCACTTCTGAAAGAGCCCATTATCACTGTAAGACTGATTCGATGATTACTATTAATCGAGACGAAGAGAAGTTGAGTAATTTAAACATGATGAATCTTTTATTAAGAAAATGTGAAGCGGGCCCAAGCAACGACATCGTTGTTGATGTCGATGAAAACGACAATAATAATGCCGGTGCGGCTTGTTGTCACGACTGAAACTAATCAAAGTTTGACGCAACCTAGTGAGGATAATAATAATTGAATATATTTTTTTCATTAGAATTAAAGGAACCGGTTTTTCCGGGTATGTTAATATTTTTACATATGCATTTGTTTGCATCTACTATTCATTGCGCATGTACATATGCATACATACCGTTTTGGATGCTATCTCCTTAAATAAGGACTTTGTATATATTTTTGTAATTGAATTGTAATATTTGATCATCATGCATTCATAAAAGAAAGAAATAATATTATATAATAGTTTACCTCAATATTTAGTTCTACATTTTTATCCATATTCGAGCTTATCTTATTTTTTTTTAAAACGCATGCCAAACGTTTCGGTCAGAGGTATTCTTGTATTAAAACAGTCTCTTTAGTAAATAATGAGATATATTTTATTAAGAAAATAATTGCGAACATAGTTGAACGAACCTTATTTATAAACATTCTCTTCGATATCAATTGCTCCCCTAATGTCAATTTAATCAAGTCTGATTTATAGTTAGTTGTTTTACATCTTTTATGTATACATGCGTAAACGGTTGTGTATGAGATTCATGGTATTCGAACTAAGATATTGTTCTCAGTATCTATTTTCAGTTTTTTCAACTTTTTTATTTTCAAAATGTTTGTATAATATCTATGGTTCACAATTTATTTTTCTATATTACACTTTATTTCCGGAACTAAACTTGAAATTATCAAATGGGTCACTCGATGAGTCGTTGCTAATGGTTGCCGACCCTTGTACTTGTGTCGTTTCTTATACGTTTGTCTATATTATATTAAATACGACGATTTCCGAAGGCTCATAAAACAATTTCCGGGCAAAACTGAATATAAGCTGCACATCGTTGGAAAGGCTATTACTTTTTAGCAGAGGATGGTTTCGCCACGATAGCTAAGAACACTTTCGCTTTTTCAATCTCATTTTTGATATAATACAAAAATTTTTCATACCAAGTTTTAACTAAATAACATAAATAAAAATTTTTAAATATTTTTTTAAAAAATTGTTGAAAAGATTGGTTTTTACAACCTTATACTTGTATGAAATGAGTAAAATAAAACAAACAACACGAGAGTGTTCTTGATTAGGAAATATCTAAATAGAAATAGCTAGCTTGTTGCTATTGAAATCCTCTTTTTGTAATAATTGTTCCATAATTTGGCAATTACAATTTACACCCTAATGAAACAATTTGGCAAATAAATAAAAAATTTCAAGTAAATCAGCTTTATTGCTTGTGTTTCATTTCCCACAAAATAACGTACAATAAACCCAAAACTATTTAAACTAGTATAAAATAAATATAAATTAATTAACTAACTTTTAAAGTTGAAATAAACGGTCCTCATTTCTCCTAGTGAGTTTTTTTCACTCTTCGATTGGTATGTATGATTTTCATTTACAAATTCTCACAAATCCCCGTAAAACGAGGGCACGATATGATTCAAGTATGATTTTGACTTACAAATTCCCACAAAGTCCCGTAAAACGACTGCACAGCTGGAATCCCATCCAGGAAATATGAATTGAACATTGTTCTGTTGTAAGCACTTTTATATTCTGCAGAGTTACCAGTTTTTTCGAATACTTTTGAAAGAAATAAAGTTTCGTTTGTGGAAAAATTAAAACAACAAAATGCCAGCTGTTGATCAAAACGAGTAATTTATTGCTTTAAATTCAACTAATTGCAATGCATTCATTTTTTTATTATATGCAGCATTAAAATCATGCCTAAATCGATTGTTTGTGAAGATAGCATCCTTCGTGGTGACATCACAATTTTACCAGGATGTATTGTGCATCCTAGCGCCTCTATAATTGCCGAAGCAGGTCCTATTGTGTTTGGTGAAAATTGTATTGTAGAAGAATACGCTAAAATTGTCTACCCCTTGACAGAGGATCAGATGAAGATCAAAGAAGCCGGTGTGGAAGCTCTACCGCCTTTAATAATTGGCATTAACAATGTTTTCGAGGTGGGTTGTACAGTAGAAGCAAGTCGCATCGGCGATAAAAATGTTTTTGAATGTAAAAGCTACGTTGGTCCGGAGGTCAGTATATCAAACGGTTGTGTAATAGGTGCTGGGGTGACCTTGCGATGCAAACAACATTTGCCAGAGTTCACAGTTATATACGGCAGAGGTTATTTACAACGTGAAGCCATTGATAAACATGTCGTAAGTTTTACATTATTATTGATAATTGCTTGCTTACATCGTCGTGATTCTTAAAATTTTTCTAGTCGCAGACTCTTCAAATTGATTTCTTACGGAAAGTTTTGCCCAACTACCATCTTCTACGTAAACCCAATTATGATCCCAAGAAGAATCGAAACGTTATATGATACTTAAGACTAAGCTAATTTATTCTTTCTTGGACAGAGAAATTTGAATTTTATCTTTATCATTAAACGCCTTAATTTCAGCTTCAAATGTTATTATTGTGTGATCGCATAATTTTTCTAAATCTTCTAATCCCCTCTTCAAAATATCGATAGCTCGTGATTGATTGGATTGTATGCGAAAATGTAGTTTATTTTCTGCAGGATGCGGTATAGTATAACCACAGAAATCTACGTCCGGATAACGTGTCACTATGGTTTTCAAGGAATTACCAAGAGTATGGCCTTCATCCTGAAACACGAATGTTCGCGATCCTTCATTACTTTCATCACCAGCTACCTAATAATATAATTTAATTTAAATTATATATTTAAATTATATATATATGAAATTTTGTAATTACTTCAGCCAAGGCTCCCATCCTGTTTAAATTTTTTTATACAAAATATAAGAAATTTCGTTTACTTAAAAGTATAGGTTTATTTTTTATTTAGGTGGAATGGATTAAGCTTGTCGATGAAGAAACCAACACATCCAGTAGCACAAGTAACGTGCTTATATTTTGTTTATATAAAACTGACTAATAGTTAAAAGGCATCGGCCGATAACTTAAGAGTTACCAATTCTATTATTGAACAAGCTTGTCAACTGTATTTAATTTCATGGTGTTATCGATAACGATCTTAAATACCTCTACTTAAAAAAGCGTACATAATAGCGAAGAAGTTCTGTACGGATAGAGGTTATTTCAGTTTTTTGTGCAAAAAATATCAATTTTTGATAATAGAACGAAATATGGCCCAAAGCAGATTAGAGAAAATTGGAACAATATACACAAGGTAATAAGAGACATAAGAAACTAACAATTTAATCTTGCTAATCGTCTTATAGAATCACAGGCTTGCTAAAAACTGGGGCTATGAAGTCAGAAGATAAACCAATATGGTATGATTTATATGAAGCTTTTCCACCTAAGTTGGAACCGCGCTTTGATAGACCCGCCCCAAATATACCTATACGAAACATATTCTACGCAGAAGATGTTATCAGAGCGTATGTGGGAAGACCATAATATTTATTGACACATTTATTAATAATTGAAATTTTTTCAGGAAGTTTCATAAATTTCAAAAGCAACCAGAAACGATAAGCTTACTTGATCACAAAAGGGAAACACAAGTTCAACAGTTTGTTAAAATCTATCACCATCTAAAATCTCAGGGAGCACTAGATGACGAAAAAGTTTTTGAAACTGCGATGGAATTATTAAATGAGAAAAGGGCCCAGGCTAGGACGGAAGAAGCGGACACGCTTCCAGAAGTATATAGTGCTGATGGAGACACTCTTACAAAAGCGTTCACTGAAGCTAAAGAAGCTCAAATGAAAGCAATCCAACAACCAATACCAGATACAACTGACAGGAAGGCTGGCAAAACAGGACGAAATCGTCAGATAAGTGGAATAGATGTGCAAAATCTCTTTAAAGAATAAAAATACAATTGACGTGACAAACATACATTTCGAGTTTTAGTTTTCTTATACAGCTAAAGCGTCATTCTGATTCTCATGGCTGAGTTGGGTCTGAAGATTTGACAACTTATTCTTCAACACTTGTACGCCCATAATGACAATATTCTCAGGTTTTAAGGCGCCTGAGGATTCCACGTTATAGAAAAATTTATTGGGCTTAGCTTCCCAATTGTAAGGCGCCTCGTACTGGTCGTCTTCAAGTTCTGTGTGTTCACTTTTTGGCCATTCGTCCGGTTTAGGATACAAGGTGTGGCGCATTGCATTATCAGGATCGTATTCAAAACACACTCCAGCAGTAGGATTCCATTTGGCATGCTCTTTACCAAATCCCTTTTTAGCATAAGCACGTAATTTCAGCTCTTGGCCTTTACGCAGCTTAATTATTAAAATCTCGTCGGTGCTTTCGCCATATTCGTTATCTTCTTCGTTTTGATGCCTAGAGGTTACCGGAACCACTTTCGGATTACTTGACTTTAAATCAGCCGTCGTTACGTGCCTTGTTTGATCTTCATTACATTTTACATCCAAAGTAAATTCGACGCTGCACTCTGGGCAAAAGTCCAAACATATGCAGTCACGAGTATATTGTAAACGTTCCACAACCTCATCAGAAATTAGGGGAATTAAACCTATTCGATGGGCCAGGAATTCATCAGATAAGACTGTAGAGTTAGCCTCTAACTGCACCCAATCTATTGCCAGTGTAGGAGTTTCAGCTATAAAAACACGACGTAAGCTGTTAGCTACACTCAATTCGGTGTCTTCTAATATAAATTTCACATTATCATCTGTTAGTTCGGTAATGGTAACAGAAGGTTGATTAGCGTAGGGCATTTCTAAGATTTTTCAAGACCTTTCTCTTCAATAATTTTCACAAATGAACAATTTCTTCAAGCGCACCTACGTACTTACAATTTTGTTCTTCTTCACTTCAAAACAAAAGTTTACGCGTTGATATGGTGCTGCCATATTTTGAAGGCATCTCTATTCCCAACATATTTTTCACATTCAAAGCAAAGAAAGCCAACTAACGGTTTTTAAATATATCTTTATATTGTAGTGAAAAAGCGAAAGTGAAATTCCTCTTCCAAAAAAAATTAAAAATATGTAAGCACTTCAAGAAATAAGCGCAAGTACATATGCATGCTGAAATATTGTAAAGGAGCTCCGTATGACTTCATTATATTACTTAAAAAACTCATTGAAATTGGCGCGTTGATTATAGTTGAATGAAATTTGGCATTTTGCAAACACTGACTTGAAAATTGAAACTGGAATTGGTGTTTTTAAATTTATCATATTATCATGGTGAAATCAAAAAAAAAGAATAAATAGAATCATTATAGGATGACCTTTCGAAAGTATGTGTGGTATTCGTCATTGTTATTTGTTGGTTATACGCCTGGCAAATCACCCATTGCTCTTGATTTTTGGAAGCTACTTTTTACGACAGAGTCAAACATTCGATCAGATTGCGTTCTAAGTTGGAAAAGGGTTCTCTGGAAAACCACAATGAAACTGTTCATATAGGTAATCACATCACGATCACATGTAGCGAAGATGAGGACGTGAAAAGGGATATAAAATTTTTAGAAGAGAATAGTTATTTCAGAACTGGTTATTGTAGCTGTTCTACTGAAGCAGAGCAACTCGTTATTAACGGATGGAAACACAAGGTAAGGACTTGATGAATTAAGAACACATTGTGAAGAACTTTTAAAATTAATTACTTACAGGCGTCGAGTCAAATTCTTGTGTATGCTGGATTAACTGATCTACAAATTCGAGGTGCGCATAACCTAGTGAATTATTCTATGCCAACTTCGCGGAAAATATGTTTGTACAGTCGAACCATGGGACTTCCACGCGAAAATTGGATCAAATGGAGGAATTAATCGAACTGATTGATAACCAAGTTGACAGTATGAAGACTGCCTTTAATAATAATCATCTAAAAACTTACGATTTTCAATCTTTGCATAATTGCATAGTCAGATACATTAATTTGTGTCTACGGGGCAAGGAACGCTCCATATTCGGATGTGAAATATGTGAACGTCTGCAAATTTTTTTATTTACTAATAATCCACGAACGAATGTTGCCAGATGCAATGGTTAACAACACTTAAGCTATTCAAGGAGAAGCAGAAATAATTTTAGCTTGAAATATTTTCAACAACTCTCAGAGACTCTTCGAAATTTTATGAAGTTCGCAAAATTCAGTTAATATCGTATTATATTTTATTTTAACAACATAATGGCAATTCAGCACAAAGCGTATACAAACCGTTGAATAGTTTGGTATGCGCAGACCAGTAAATGCGATTCACGTATCAGTAGCATCGTTTTTCTAAACCCTACCTTTATTCAATTATATTTATGATTGAGAATAACGTGTTAATCCACCAGTTGTTTCAGTGTGAGCCTGGCCTTTCCTTCTTAGAATCCCTGCCAATGTGGACAATTTTAGTAACGCTAAAGTAGCACTACTAGTAAGTACGTTTCGTTTGGTGTCGCTGTGTCTCTTTGTGTGACTGACTAGTTTGTCAGCTGTCCGTTTGCCAGCCAGTGTACATTAACGCTCAATATAAGACAACTGCTCTACTTCATCAAAATGGGTGTCAATACTCTAGACCAGATATTGTAGAGTACATTTTTTTTTTCAATTTTTGTTTGTTTTTCGGTAGCATTTCGAGGAGGGGCCCTGTAATTCTGCTAGCAAGTGACTGATTTCGGTCTCTTCTTTTAATTCGCTAATTTCCTCCTGAAAACATTATTTTTTCAAATTGTGAGCACTCATTGCTAGTAAAATATAGACGCAGGTCTTCGAGTAAAACTTTCAACTACTTACGTATACTCAGATTCAACATATGTCTCTCAATGAAGTGCTTAAAAGCTTTCTGATATAGCGTATTTTTAAATTCAAAATCTTTGGATTGTTTTAAGTAATCTTTCATTCAACTGTAGTCGTTTTAAGTCATGTTTCAACTGTTTGCCTAATCTGTGCTACTGATTATTGGTACAATTTTCACTTTGTTCACATTTCAATTGCACTTTATATCTCTTGGCACCTGTGATGGGTAGTTTTTTTGGTGATTTTTTCGAAACTGATGATAATTGATCTATTGTGCAAGTTGGCCTGTGCAGTATGTATGTATTGTGCTATTAAAAGAGATCTACGCTCTCGCTTTCAGTTTGGTTTTGTGGGATGCGGCGGTAATATGACATTTTTGAGCTAAACTTGTTGGTCCTCGGGAACATTTGCGTCTCACTTTATCGGAAATATCTGTACCTGTTGGAAACATCAATAATTGTAAAATTCCAAGCAAGTCGATATATACTTGAAAACAGCAAATATTATATTACTTTAAAATTAAATGAACACTTCTCTCGTCAATGTAATGGATAACTTACTTTGGTTAAAAATATTTGCAAACTCTAAAAAGGTAGATTTTACAAATCTGGAGGAAGCAAATCTATTTCATGGGTATACAAAACGTTCAGGGCTGCTTAAACCACTGGCTGTCATTTCATTTCGTTATAATTTTATTGTTGATTAATGTGTGTGCGTGTTATTAGTCCACGAATATTTTTGCATATGTTGATTTTAAAGAAGAAGAAGAGGAAGAAGGCCAACGAAGTGAATTCTTTTTGAAGTCTTAAGAGTCTTTTTATTGCAATTTTTTCTTAAGCAATTTCCCCAATATTTCAACGTTTTTGAGATTTCCACAGCATCCCAAATTTTATGAAAAATTTTTACCACCTTTAAAAACCATGTTTTAAAATTTGGAAAAATTAGCATTAAAGCGCTTTACATAGGTGTATGTAAACAACACTCCTCTTAAATATTGGTGGGGTGCTCTTGTAGATAATTGGTTGTCTCACATAATTGACGGTGTACCGTCGAATATATAAATAGGCAGGCAGTTAAAAAAAAAAATAACTGAAATTGGCCGTAGAGAAATTAAGGTAGCTTTTGTTGTGTGGTTTAGAGGTGAAATGCAACAACAACTGCAAATGGAACCACAGAAACTTAATTATATATCAAAGTTATTTCTAATCACTGCCATTGATATCAAAGATGAGTTGGAAGAGGTAAGAGGCTTTGCGATATAGTTCACGAGCACTATTTTTTAATATCTTCTTATATTTTAGCGATTCGAACGTGCCCATATTAATTTGCAACAGCAAGTTAATGGTCTGAATGATAAAGATATGCATGATAAATTATCACAGTTAGTTTGCAAGGAAAAACAGCATGAAGAAATATCAATTGGATTTTTATATATAATGTTAACTGATCCCCCCATGGCTCTAAAAGGTTATCGTGATTTGACTTTAGTTGCAAGGGACGGTATGAACATGGTGGTGACAAACCTCACCATATTAGTAGCGGAAAAGTATAATAAACTTACAGAAGTGGCTAGACGTCAACTCATTTGGCTACTGCGTGAATTGGTTAAACATCAGGTGTTAAATGTGGAGAACATTATTTGGAATTGTTTACGCCAAGCCGGTGGTGGTGATGTATCACAAAAGAATCTATATTTAGTGGAGAATTTGCTAGATATTTTTATTGAATACCGTGCGTGGTTAGAATCGCAAGCCTTTCTCGTCCAAACCGTTGTGTATAGTTATGTGCGACTCATAGAAGATCATGCCAGTCCAGCGTTGGCTGCTCTAAGACATAAGGAGGTAAAATTTGTCATAACGCTGATAAGGGAAAGATTTCTCGATATTATAGGATTGGGAAGAGACTTTGTACGGTGAGTTTTATAGCAGGTCTATCCATTTCATCAGATCAATTTATTTGAAATTATTTTCTTTCTTGCACTAGGCTATTACAAAATGTAGCCCGAATACCAGAATTCGAGCAACTGTGGCGTGACATTTTGCTTAATCCGAAAAGTTTACATCCCACATTTAATGGCATTTGGCATCTGTTACAAATCCGTACTAGCCGTCGTTTCTTGCAGTGTCGCCTAACACCAGAAGTAGAACGTAAATTGCATTTTCTGGCTTCCTCGGTAAAATTTGGAAGTCAAAAACGTTACCAGGACTGGTTTCAAGATAAATACTTTGCAACTCCGGAATCACATAGTCTGCGTTCTGATTTAATCCGCTTCATCATCAATGTCATACATCCCAGTAATGATATGCTCTGCTCAGATATTATACCGCGATGGGCCATAATTGGATGGCTTATATCATCCTGCACAAACACCATAGCCTCGGCAAACGCCAAGTTATCGTTATTCTACGATTGGCTGTTCTTCGACCCGATAAAGGATAACATAATGAATGTTGAACCGGGTATTTTAGTAATGTACCATTCGATACGTAACCATCCAAGCGTGAGCAGTACTTTATTGGACTTTCTGTGTCGTATTATGAAAAATTTCTGTCTTAAGTACGAAGACAAAATACGCATGGGCGTTTACAATTCATTAAATAAGATTTTAGAAAAACAGGCAAGTAGTAATATTATTTATAAAATATCAGTATTTAATTTTGTTTCTTATTATTTCGTCTTAGGTCATTCCAAACCTTCAACCCTTGTTTGAATCCCCTAAGCTTGATCGTGAATTGAGAATACTGATAAGAGAGAATTTCCGCGAGTTTGTCTCGCCGGCTACTCCAAGCGGTAATGTTGGTCCTCCTATTTATCCGCCATCTTCAGTGATACAAGCACCTGTTTTCAAAAAAGAAGCCGATCAGCGTTCAATGCATCAGAGCGCTGCGATATTTCAACAGGCACAGCAACAACAACATTCTGATTTTCAACATGGGCAAAATCATTTTCAACCACATAACTCGACCACTGTCGATTTGACGGAGAATTCTGCTACAGCGGGAGCCGTGGATTCAGGAGGTGGGGGTGGCACTATAATATCTTTAATTGATGAAGATAATAAACTATCCATAATACCACCTGAAAGCAACGATGTTGAAACCGAGGCGGCCTTTAGCGAAGATGACGATGACGCGAATAAAGAAATCAAAAGTGAAGAGCTTACAGACGATGATGACGATTTGCCGCTTTCGAAAGTGCGTTTACGTGAAAAACCTACTCCCGAGAAAGTTGATTTACCCGCCTCCATAAGCGACACATTCGAAACGTTTGTTACAAAACGTAATTCGTTCACTTGGGAAGCTTTTCTGGAGGATTTTCGTTCATTACCCGCCTCAGCAGTGGACGATGCCCAACTACAGTATGTGATCTCGAATACGCATTTAATATTACGCGAAACATTACCGTTGCAGAACTTATTTCCCGATAGCAAAACCGATGAAAAAAATTTGGCCAAAAGCATTAGTTATCCATTGTTTGGCTTATTTCGGTTTCTGTATGAAAACGAGGATAAAAGTAAGAAGCCGTTTCAGACTTTGCTTACAGAAATATGCACGCGCATACCAGAAACTGGTTACCTGCTATTGTACTTTATGAAAGTCCACGTTAAGCTGCAAACACGAAAGAATGCTCAACAAGCCACACAATTTAAGACCAACATCTATCGTTTGCTATGCGATGCAGTAGATGAAAAAATTGATGATTCTTTAACAAGAGATTTGGATTTGTTAGAGAAAGAAAATACCGCCATTTTTCTGTGGTTATTGCCTGATGTGTATCGTGAATTCAAGGCGAGTGCAATCAATAACAGTGAACTGCTGCGTATAACACTTCGGTGCATTGATGCAAAGAATTTGCGAGATTTAATGTACTATGTGGCTCAAGGCAAACTGACGTTGTTCAAATCTGATGGGTTAGTCGATTGTATACGAGATAGTTTGACATATGAAACCTTTGAACAATTGTGTCTGTGGCAGTTGGTACAAGCACATGACGTGCCGTTAAAATGCTTGCAGGTCACTTGAGGAATACCATAGCAATGAAAACTAAAACCGATTTAACTTCTTTTTTTTGCATGTTGCAGGATCTGCTACCGGAGTTAGAATCAGCGAATCATCCCGAAGCCTTAGGTTATATGCTCTTATTGCTAAAAAATGAAGAGCCTACGAATGAGCTAATTCGGTTACTTTTAAGTAGGGAAACAAAGACACGCGGAGATCCTTTTGTAACCTCTGCTCTAAGGTAAAATATTCCGCTTGAATTTATATTAAATGATTTCATATTTTTTATTTCGATAGGTTTTGGTGCCAAAGGGGGGAAGAGAAATTATCAGAAATTATTGCGTCGTTGTTAACATCCAAGTATCCTAGCTCATCACCCAATAAAAGAAAAAGACCACTCAAAGGCAGCTCTGCCGTAAACAGTTCACCTTCAGCAGATCAGGTAAACAATTTTGCATAATATTTACCGCAATAATTTAGGCAATATTTTTCAATCGTAGGTATTAAATCATTTGGAACATTATAGAAGAAGTTGTCGCCATGGTACTGGCACCGGTCTGTATGTACATGACACAATGCAAAGGGCACTCCAGACAGCTTACACACACAGTACTGAAAGCACAAAAGTAAAACAAACAACTTTTTTCTCCCGCAAGCAAACTAAATTTTATTTTTTTTTTAGAAGCAATATAGCGATTTATTTGCACTGGCTGCTGAAGACGAAACCACAGCCGTAGGAAGAAGGGGGGGCAGCGGTCGCGGCCGGAAACAACCCACATCTAAAAAGGATACAAGTAATCAAAGTAATAGTAACAAAAAGAACTCCGACCCTGTCAAAACTATCTATTCATCCGATGAAGATTCAAGTGAGGTAAGAAAAAGATACAAACATCATATACATGGTACTATCACAATCGATAAGTCAAAAGAGCTTAACTTCTAAGAGGCTTCAATCAAATTTGAGATTGTTGTCCGCTGTCATGGGTAATAATGAAAATCTTGATATTCAAGGTTTTTTGAGCAAATCGTGCCCACTTTCAAATTTATCTGTACAATTGATTTGGCTATAGCTATACTGCATTTTAATTTTGTTACTCGCTTTCTGAGGTTTTGAGAATGTCAACGACCTACTGATAGATAAACATGGTAAATGAACTCGGACTATCAAGCTAATTGAAAACTAATGTGTATTTAAACCATCTAATTGTAGTATTGTCATATTTTGAAATAATATGTAGAAAATAATAAACAAAATATTTATGATGCAATTAATTAAATATTTTATATTCGTTCAATTTTAAGGAGGATTGGTCAAAACAAAAAATTTCACAGGCTAAGAAAAGGAAAAAAATTAATGATTCGGACTGACAAAAGTACCAAAATCCTACGTCACCATATTGCTACGACGATGCCGATGATAATGATGATGAACATAATAATGATAAAGATATTTATAATCAAATTGTTTAAAATTACAAAAATTTGAAAAAAAGCAAAAAAAAAATGTAAAATGCAACAGAAAAAAAAAAACAAAAAAAAATTATTATATTATTGTAATTAAAAAGCAAGAAAAAGTTTAATAGCATTAGTAATGCCAATGTAGAATTTTTTGAGTGTTGAAATATTCACGTTATATTTTTTTATTTTTAATAAAAATAAAAAAAGGACATTTGAAAAACAAAAAATGCAAATAATAAATAAAATTTAAAATTTTCCCTTTTTACTGTACTTCCTATTACACTCCTAATCCCCTCCCGTCCACACCCAATGCAGATCATTTTATAACAAAATTGAAGCAAAACGAAACATTGTGAAAAGACTAAAAAAAATTGTAAAACAAATTCATAATTGCGTATACATAAAACAAAGTAAGAATAAAAATAACAAAAATCGTGTCTTTTACTTAATTTTAAAAAAGAACAAAAAGTGTTTTATTAACCGCTCTTTTTATGGTTTGGATTACCAATACCAATTTCGATCTAAACACAATCGTCTTTCATTTCATATTTTTATTTAGTTTCTTTTTTTATTTAAAGGCGGGCTTCTTTTTTTAGAAAAAGTAAAAAAAATATACAAATAATTTAATAAAACAACAACAAAGAAGAATTATGGTCATTATTATATATATATATATATATATATATATATATATATAAAACATGGATACTTCAGCAATGATTACATCTTCATTGCTATGCTTATATAAAATTTATATTGTTTATCTTCATGAACGTTGTGCAATGAACGGATATTATTTATTCCGTTATCCCTGATATGCTTTGTTTGAACGTAACTACAATCGAAATCGGTTATTATATAGTAACTAAAGTAAAGGCATGCTGGCGGGAATGTCGGGAATATCTAAACTAATTTAATATGTCAATAGAGCGACTGTACTTTGTTATAACAACACTGCAGAAAGAAGTAGTAGTGGTAAACAGTGTTGCTTGAGGAGAGAGAGAGAGAGAATTTGTAATATATTAGATCGGCGAGTAAGTGTCGTCGTATTTTATAAGAGATATTTTATTGACAAGTGCCTTAGCGGCGTCTAATATTGAAATCCGAACTCGCTTGCATTTGCAAGTATGTTTTATGGATAATCCTACAGTATTTGAACGAACATTGTAAAAACAATCACGCCAACCTCAATTATTAAGTATCGATATTTCATTTTTTGCGAATTTGTATAACCTACACCATTTTACGCCCTTGTTTTCGTTGCGAACCAAATTTACTAAAAATATACGTAATTAACGGCAGTTGTACTTGGAGAAACTGTGTCATCGAACGGCAGCAAATGCATCGCAAACTTATGTGAAAATCAGGCGAAAAATAAAAGCGTTGCTTGAGTTTTTCATCAATAATCATTAACTCAATTACTTTTCTGTTTATGTGTAACTTTATTCCAAGTTTTTGTTTCCAATAACATTTGTTTTTGAAAGAATTGTTTTGCGATAAGGTTCCGTAATTATTTTATTATATTTTTACTGTTTTCTTTTCTATTAATTATTTTTATACACACCATTCAAGGATTGCTGTATATCCATTTTGTTTTTTTTTTTTTTCATAATGTATGTAACACCCAAAAGGAAGCTTCAGAAACCCTACAAAGTATATATATTCTTGATCAACGTGAAATTGAGTTATGTGATGTATGTTCAAGCATCGCAAAAGGTCGAATAATGGTTTTTTGTACTAAACTTCAGCAAAACTTGTATGTAAATAAATAAATGTGTATGGAAACAACTTTCTTAGTAAATCCCATCTTACGATCAATGCTTGTACACACATACATATGTACACCTGTACGATCGGCACCTTTTATCGTAAAAATACTGCAAATGAATTTAAATAGAAAATTTCATTACACGCAGTTAATTGCATGAGCAGAACTCTCAATACTACTCAATCAACATATGATTTTGTTATGCTTCTTCAACAATTCACTTCCTAATAAGTACACTTACACAAACTGCACACGTTGAAAAATCAAAATTTCATATATTTTAGGTCCATAGTTGAGAAAATTTTTCCCGGCGCAGCTGTTTTTCAAGGAAATTCCTTAATTTAAGAGTAAATAGAAAAAAGCTTTGGTTTATTCTGGTAATTTTTTAAAAGCTTAATGCCATTTCCTTCTAGAAGGAGTGCGGATTATCTTATATTTGAGCAATATTTTATGACAGTCTTCTGTTCTACCGTGTAAATAAAAAATGTGGGGTGACACAATTTTAATCGTATTTATCTCTATTTGCACCGCATTTTTGGGAGAAGGTATGTAAAATTTTCAGTTTTTTTCTATCTATTTTAAAATACCAAGTTTTTTTTCCAATATAAATAAGGTCTGACTTGGCTATTGGTATATCGCACTGAAAAATATCAAAAATTGAAAAGTGAAGTAGAAAAGCAAAGCAAAAAATGTAAGTAAAATTATTTGATATCTGGAAAAACATGTTTCATTTTTTCATTATTAACATAGTAGAACGACGTAAGGAAATCCATGGAGAATCTTTGGATAAATCGCAGAAAAAAAAAATTGAACGTGATGAGGAGAAACTTAAAAACAATAATCGTGATCTTTCTTTGGTTAAGATGAAATCTATGTTTGCTACCGGCTTTGCTTTCACCGCACTTTTGAGTATGTTTAACAGCATGTAAGTTTAAAAGTCAAACGCTGATGCATTTAAACAATATAAAAAACCACTCTTATCTTTAGTTTTGATGGCCGCGTTGTGGCTCAGTTGCCGTTTACGCCCATCTCTTGGATTCAAGGGTTAAGTCATCGCAATTTGTCGGGCGAAGATTATACGGACTGTTCGTTTATTTTCCTCTATATATTGTGTACTATGTCTATAAGACAAAACATACAGAAACTTTTAGGCTTTGCTCCTTCAAGGGCAGCGAGTAAACAAGGGGGCGGATTATTTGGACCGACGCCGGCGCAATTTAAGTAATCATCATATAAAATAAATAAAATCTTGTATTTAAATATTATTCAATATATGAAAACGGTAAATTATTGCAACAAAAATTTTAATGGACTTGGCGAAGCAATTAGTGCTAGACAATATTGGTTTCTAGCATGGGCCGATCAATAATAATTCGATCGAAACATAAACGTGTTAAATCTATGGTACGGAATCTGCCGTCAATAATTAGTTCACATATTGCTCTGCCTACAGCGGGGGTATGTTGTATGCCATGCCCACTAAATCCTGTAGCTATTAGCAGATTGCTATAATAAGGATGGGGCCCTATTATGCCGTTTTCATCGTATACATTGTACTCATAAAAACCGGCCCAACTACTTACAACCTTAGCGGACTCAAACGCTTTACAACGTCTTGCTAACGTGGGCCAAACGTTTGTTTCGAAATATGAGTGATCTACGTCTAAGTTATCAGTGGCAGGTTCTTGGTCGCTGTTTGGACTACGACCGCAGAGGTAATTTCCAGCTAATCCATCTCTTCTAAAGTAGGTGCCATCAGGATCTATGGTTAAGGGTGTGCATAGTCCGGGAGCATTGTCGCCTTGAGTGTTTATAACGTATACATAACGTTTTCTAGGTACCACTGGCAAAGCAATCTGAAGTACACTCTTTTTTCCGGTACCAATACGAGCTAACTTGGCTACTTCTCCTGAATGTGCACCAGCCGCTACTACGCAAATCGCAAATTTAACAGATCGCCTTTTACCGTCAGGCGTTTGAATTATGGCTTTATCCAGCGCCTGATATTCCCCTTCTATATTTCCATGTATAATCACTTCAGAATTTTCTTGAAATTCAAAATCAACTACTTCCCCGTGTACAAAGTGAGCGCCCAGTTCTTTGGCTTTGCGCCTGTAACCCATCAGCAAGGCCCACGGGTCAAACCAACCCTCTTGTTCCAAACCATGGCACCCTGCGATAAATCTATTAATAAATTCCTTTAAATGTGTTTTGAATTCTTACCTAAAACTATGCCTTCCGTGGAAATCCAAGGAAATTTATTTTTCAGTTGTACAGCGTTTAAGAGTTCATTACGAGCCCCCAATTCATTTTGCAATCTCGAATTACGTTTAAGAGTTTCGGCGCCCTGTTCAGAAGCCAACGTGAGATAGCCATGAGGTGTGAAATTTAGTTCTACATCACCTAAATAATCTTTAATTTCACGCATAAATTCAGCGCCAAATAGAGACATTTGTATGTTTTCAGGCAAAGAAAATTGTTGCCGTAAACCACCTACTGAGAGAACTGTAGAGGCACGCGCGTACTGAAATTTTGATCATAGAATTAATTACGCGTTGCATGAAGTTTGAAGATGAAATAAAAACTCACCGTTGGGTCGCGTTCTACCACCACAACATTTAGACCATCTCGAGCTTTTTCTTTTAGCCAAAAAGCCACAGATGAACCTACGCCTCCACCGCCTATAACCAAAACATCGCAATGCGTTTGAAACACATCCTCAGGTGATCTTTCTTTTTCCCCTCTAAAATGTTTTTTATTGTTATTCAATGTCGAAGTTTCTGTGATTTCGGGAACTTTATTGGTCCTATTATTTGGGAGAAAGAAATCTTTCACCTTTTTCATGTCATTCTTTAAAATATTCAAAGTTCTCGTTAACGGATGGTTTTCATCTTCTAATCCTTTATTTTTGTGAAACGTTACAGATGTCGTCAAAGAACGTCTGGCATGTCGCGATTGTGGTCTTGATAACAGAATGCGTATTAAATGCGACATTTGGATTTTGACTGATTAAATGCTTTTATTTTGTTACTAATTGTCCTCTTATCGCTTCTAATCATCAAGATATTCACTTCAATTGCCAGACGTCGGAATCCACGGCACCCACTTTCTCACTTGAATCACTTGAAGATTTTCACTGAGACTAGATAGATAAAGTGTTCAACAACTTCGTTGATAACAGCCAGTGTTGATGTATTCATATTTTTTTCGCTTTCGCGTATTTGCATTTGCAGCCTATTGAAAATGATTATTTATATTAACGTATTGGATAGCTATACCATTAATTAAATTTAACCTGATATGGGATGAAATATTTATTCATAATTTGCTCAAGATTGAATCAAAAATAAATAAATTCATAGACAACAAGAACTATTACTGAAATCGTTCTCCTGTGTTTCCATTTTGCATTTCCGTTTATTGACGTAATTCATTAATCTACGGAAGCCGTTTTCAAACAATTAATCAAAAGTAATCAAAAGTATTCTTCAGTTCTTCACTTTTTTTTATAAGACAGTTATAATCAGGTGTTTTTCTTTCAATTCATACGCTTTTAAGTTACTTTGCTCCATCTCTACTCAACAAACTAGAAAAGAAAAGTTACTTGGCCGTTTAAGTAAATTATCGTAGTAGTTTCAGTGCCCGACAGGCATAAAATAAGAGCGATATCTTACGGTTACACTTAATGGTTCGAATTGTTAAAATCAAGTTCATTAAATAAAATGTCTTTTCTTTTAACATTAAATTTTTGTTTGCCAAGCATTTGTTCACTTGATGATAAGGCCAGGTTAGGTTTTAAATATGTAGACTTCAATTGAGTTATCATAGAGGTGATCAATAAGTTTACGTACGAAAAGTTGAGCAAAAATTAATTTGTATCTTTTCGTTAATATTGGTGGCGTCGTTTTCTGAAAATTTTATATTTGAAGTGCTATTCTTTTCGTCCTTGACTTCATATCTTACATTTTTCGTTTATTCCTTTTTTTTTGCTTATTCGACTTACGAAAGTGAAGAGCGAATTTCTATTTGAACTCTCTATACTTCGAAAATTATTTTATTCTAGATACACAAATCAAAGACCAATTTATTTTTGAGCAGCATTAAATTTTCATTCAATGTAGCCATCCAAATCCATAAGTATTGAAAAGGCTTGATGCAAAAAGCCATGCTATATGGGATAGAGCAATATTTTATTTTATCATATGTCCAATAGGCCATATATGAAATAGGCGTCTTTGCCTCACTGCTTACATCAAACAATTTCTCTTTAGTTGGAAATCTATTCAAAAGGAGAAAAACAAGCGTATTTTTTTTTAATGTAAGCCTTTAAATATTATAACTAAGCCAATGGCTTTACAAACCCTTTAAGACGTTTTTTTTTGAATGTAACGTTTAATATAGTACATATTTAGTGCATATTTGATTTTGTGGCTTTTAATCGATGACTTAAATACTATTTTTAGCAACGCTTTGAGCAATCACTTAATATCTAAGAAACTGCCGAAATTTCATAAGTAAGATTTTGTATATGCTTTTCTAAAATAAAATAAATAAATAATAAGAAAAATAAGGGAAAAATGAGAATCTGTAAACGCAATACAAATTTTTCGGCAGATGATGTTAAATTATTGCTTTCCTTGGTTGCTGAAAGACAAAGTATTGTTGGATGTAAAAGAACGGACAGAGTGAGTTCACAAGTTAAAGAAGAGTGCTGGAAAGCAATTGAGAAAACTTTTAACATGAAGTCCAATGTCTTTCGGAGTTACAAGGAGTTGAGGAAAAAGTTCGATAATATAAAGTCATCGTGTAAAAGACAAACAAATAAAGAGAAAATATTCATGCACAGTTCCAGCGGTGATCTCTCACAAACAACAGCACACGAAAATGATTCCGTAGAGGAAAAGGGAGTCTTTCAAGAACATGATCTAAAGAATTATCAGAAAGAGGTTGGCGGTAACCTTGATTTTGAAAAATATAAAGTTCAAGGTAATTTTGTTAATGCGAATTTGTGGGTATTTTAATTTTTGTTTATATTTACTCTAACGTTTATTTATTACTTGCTTAGTAAGCACAGTTCCTTCCTTAGATTCCGAAAGTGAGGATCTTTCTCTACTAACAGAAAGGGAAGGTAAAATCAAGTTATTATTTCATCTATAAGAAACATTTCAAATAAACTGCATTTTCATTCTAGACAAGCCGTCCAGTGACTATGAATACAGGCACAATTATGTTTCGAAATTGAAAAAGAGAAAACGTCGAACGGAACTGCCAGGTTTACCTCAATCTGCACCTTCCTGCAGAAAAGTTGCATATGTAAAAGCAACATGGCTGCAAGAAAAAGCGGAAGTAGAAATTAATATGCTTAAACAGGAGCACCATATCAAGATGAGGCACATGGAAGAAAGACACAAATTAGAAATGGAAAAATACAAAATGGAGTTGGCTTTACTAAAAATTAACTTGGATTTGAAAAAACGGGAATTAGATGAAAGAGAACGCGCAAAAGCGAAAATAGAAAGCGTGATATCTGAAGCAAAAATTGCGCAAAATGGTTCTGATTATTAGCAATAAATTTAAAAACATCACGATAATATGTCGCGTTTCTATTTTTAGTTTTTTTTCCAAGGTGGAATTAATATCATTTCTTTCAAGAAGGAAAAAATATTTTGAAATTTTACTTTTCTTAAACGGGGCATTGGTCGTTTTGATATTTTATGAATAACCTACGCGATTCCTATGCAATTGATACAATCGCCCGATTTTTCCTGTAAGTATTTTAATACATCTCTTGATCTTTCAAGTTTTTCTTGCTCTCTTTTCTCTGAAAAGTTAGTTGGTATAAATCTATCCCTTTTTTTATCTGGCTAACAGTTCTTCGTTCGAAGAACTAAATAGTACATTCTTAATTTTATTTAAGTAGCTCCCGTGTTAACATCGCGACTAATTTTAAGTTATCAACGAATCGATTTTTATTCAAAGTGGTTTTAGATGTTTAGTTTATGAAATCAAGATCCCTGTAATAATCCGAGCTTTCGTTAAGCTAACAAATCTAGTTTCTGGTCGTTATATCTTCAAACTGACAGTTAGTGACGAAGAAGGCTTAACTAGCAGGGAAACGGTTTGCTACCAATTACCTGATTAGTACAATTGATCAACTATTTAAAAACATTATCCTGTCAAATGAAGGCAGTTTCTCTTAAAACCAAACTGGTCATTATATTTTGTGGATACTTCTTGCACATCCCCATTGAATTTCTTTCTGAGCATAAATTGTGTTGCCTAAATTACATATAGCAGCACACATTAGCATATTTTTATATATCGCAAATAGGTTTACTAAAGAGAGTTTGATTGTTAACTAAATTTGAGTTTGAGCTTTGGGTTTATTGGCTTAGTCCATCTCTGTTCAACATACCAAAAAAAAAAAAAAAAAAGTGCTTTGGGTTTGTATAATATGAAAATACAAATCTTCAAGTACACCAAAAAATTTGTTCACACGGGAAAAGCGAATTCTTTTAACTATAAAGAGTTGAGATTTTTAATCATCTTAAATTATACATTGTCTTATTCATTTATTTGCGGCATTTTTCTAAAAGGATCTGTTTTTGTTTTCTTTACAAAGTTTGCAGCTGTCAGTACACATACATCTCATGATTTGATACAATTTGACGTCGTATCAACGAGCTTTTGCGTATACCAAAATGCTAAGCTAACAAATTGAAATTTTTTCAAGAAAATTAACAATAAAATTATGGTGTGGTGTACTTTACGTTCCGAGAACTTAAAAAAGAACCGAAATTGATATATGCAAAATCTATAGAACACTTTAAAATAGCCAATTTTAGGCTTGGCATTTGAAGTGGCTTTCAAAAAAGTAATTTTACCGGCATTAGGGAATCCTACTAAACGAACATCGGCAACAAGTTTCAAATCCAAATTTTTTTTTTTTTTTCTACAAAAAATTCGTCCCACTACAGCCGCCCCTACCTGTGCAGCGGCACTATTTCGGTTAAGTTCATAAGCTCATAAGTTTAGAAAATTGAAATTTTTGACCATCATTTTCATCGGGAAATTTGACTTAGTCTTGTTTGTATATAACTTCTTTTTAGTATCAACTCGGATGACAGAAACTATATAAAAAAAGAAAATTTAAACGACATAATAGATTTTTGTTAACTTGTTGGAAATCTATGGATTATGCAAGATAGTTTGCTTCAAATCGATAAGAGGAAAGATTTTTGAGATTATAGTAGTGACTTTAATACTAACCAGTTGACTATCACGTGTATAATTTTCATGTTTGTCTCTACTTATAATTGCATTTCGATTGAAGTGCATTATGCGGCTTGTTTTCAAATTTTTTTTTTTTGTTTTGATAATACACTCCGTTTCGTTAATAATAAGAAAACTACTGTTTTAACCGTGTAGAAATACTGAAACTTTAGAAAGAAACAAAGTAGACAACTACAGCTGGTCAGCTTAGGCAAATATCTGTAATCAAACCTTATTCGGTGCGTTGTTGCCATTCGCCTGCAATATTAGAATAATTAAATGTAGATATAATAAATTCAGAAACTCATTTCTCATTGTGAAAAGTTAAATGACTTTGTAATTTTTCTGATCCGATCGAAAAACAAACAAAAGATCTGATCCCTAATTCTCAGAAGATTTAATATAATCTCGAAAGATAAGCAGCAATTATTGAAGCAAAAGATAAGCTAATAGTGAAAATGCCGATGTTTAAAGGTACAATCTTGTCGAATCTCGAAATCATATGTACACGTTGAAGAGAAATGAAATCACAAAAAATATTTGCAATTTCATTTTATAGTAAAAGTTAAATGGGGACGCGAGCTGTTCCCTGACATTGAAGTAAATACGGATGAAGACCCTATATTGTTTAAAGCGCAGCTGTTTGCATTGACTGGTGTGCAACCAGCACGTCAAAAGGTGATGTGCAAAGGCGGAATACTTAAAGATGAGGAGTGGAATTTGCAAATAAAGGAGGTAAGCTTGTGTGGGAAATTTTTAAATACATTGGCAATGTAAGCATCTCTTTTTAAGGGGGCCACTATTCTTCTTTTGGGGACTAAGGAAGAAGTGCCACAACAACCATCAGAGCCGGTCAAGTTTATTGAAGACATGAACGAAATAGAAATGGCTACAGCGGTGGGTAAATTAAAATTTAAAAAAATTAAATCATTGTGTAAAGATTGCAAAAATTTATTTACTTCGTTCTCATAGTTGGAGTTACCAGCAGGTCTTACCAATTTGGGAAATACTTGTTATCTTAATGCTACTTTACAATGTCTACATGCTGTGCCCGAATTGCGCAGCGCATTGGACAGTTTCCGTGTAGAAAATGCTGATGATGATTCGTTGGCTATTACATGTGGTTTAAAATTTTTATTTAAACAAATGGAACGGGGGAGCACTATTACTCCCATAATTTTATTGCAAACATTTCATCGTGCCTTTCCACAGTTCTCGCAAACAGGTGAAAACGGCACATACCGGCAACAGGATGCCAATGAATGTTGGTCGGAACTGTTGAAAATGTTACAACGAAAACTGCCAGCTATAGACAATACTGAGTCTGCTGATGCGAAGGAACAAATTAAGAAATATAAGTATGTTTGCTACCTAAATAACAAAATCCTTAATACTTTAATTAAATCGCCTTTAGTTCTTTTATTGAACAATATTTCGGTGGCGCTTTTGAAGTAAAAATGAGTTGTAGCGAGAGTCCAGAAGAGGAAACGACAGTCGGCAAAGAGAACTTTTTACAATTAAGCTGTTTCATTTCCCCCGAAGTTAAGTATATGCTTAGCGGCTTAAAATCCAAGATGAAAGAGACTTTAGTGAAATTTTCAGAATCCTTAGGTCGTGATGCCAATTACAGCAGATCAGTAAGTTTCGTTATATGAAATCTGTGGAAATATTCTCATTTTAAATATATTTCCTGTAGTATTTGATAAGTCGCCTACCAGCTTATTTGACTGTTCAATTTGTTCGCTTCCAATACAAAGGAAAGGAAGGAATTAATGCGAAAGTTTTGAAGGATATTAAATTTCCAATCGATTTCGATGCATTTGAGTTATGTACTCCGGATTTACAAAATAAACTAAGTCCAATGCGTGGAAAATTCAAAGAGATGGAAGATAACAAATTAAACCGCCAAACCGCCAAAGATCCGCTGGCGGAGAAAGATAAAAAAACCAGCGAATCTGATGAAAGAGCTAAAGCTGAAACTGAACAATATTGGTTTGATGAAGATTTGGGAAGCAATAATTCCGGTTATTATACCTTACAAGCTGTTTTGACTCACAAGGGACGTTCCAGCTCTTCTGGTCATTATGTGGCTTGGGTAAAGCATAACGACGAAGTGTGGTTTAAATTTGATGACGACATAGTTTCTTCGGTGACAAATGAGGAGATCTTACGCCTTTCAGGTGGCGGTGATTGGCATTGCGCATACGTTCTTTTATATGGCCCGAAATTGTTGCCCAAGCCTATCGAGGAAAGCAATTAGTTTGTGCCATTCAGTAAAAAAAAAGAAAGTACATAACAAAATGTATTTAGACGCATTTCAAAATATTCATATTAAAAAATAATATAAACACAGATCATATTGAAAGAAGAGGAAATTTAATATAGAGTAACAAGTTAGTATGCAAATCGAAACACACGCAGGGAGAGGATTTCCCTTCTTTATGACTACGACACTAGCCTCTCGACAAACTTTTCCTTTCATTTTCAGCCCGTAGGCTCCAAGAAAAACTCTATTAGGTATCTTTTTTTCTATTTTATGTGGATGAGAGTATTAGTTGAAATTTTTGTTATTTTTATTATTCATTCATCTTCCTCTTGTAGCTTATGTAGCAAAGAAATATTAGTGCAAAATACAATCACAATTATGATTCATTTAAACCTTGAGAACAAGCTGCGTTACTATTTTATGCAAAATTGATAAAAAAAAAATTAAAATCCATCTTCATCATCTTCTGCCATTTCCTTGGCCAATTCCAAATCTTGTTGTTCACGCTCACGACGCTCTTCTGCACTTTCTAGATCTTTACCATATGATTTTGGTGGATAGCGCATCGCTTTGACACTCTGATTATGTAAATTTAAACAGAACGAGATGCGTTCATGAAAAGCTAACTGAGGTTCTCGCGTGCTGTAGATATCAGTACTTTCCTTGCTACGCATATAATTGTGTGCAGGATCCAAAGTAGCTTCAATTACTCCGTCCCTTATAGCTTTAGCTACAATAAATTCGGCATCTTCAGCGGAATCTAACATCAAACGCTTTGCTATATCATGGGGTGAAATACGCGAATACGAGAGGCCAATCGAGCGTATGGCCGTCTTGATGACATTATGCCTTAAACGGATAATAAGTGTATAGGTGTGATCCTGCTGGAATTTAGGACCGAAGTTTTCTACAACTTCACCGAACCTTTTAAGATTTCCCATACGCACAGCCTGGGTCAGTTGAAAATATGGTGCCAAAGATTTGCGTAGAGCAGCTTGTCGAAAAATTTGCCGTTCCGGTATATTACCCAAAAGTAGTTCTACAACAATGATTAGTTTTTGCACGGTTTGACGAAAGCCCACTGCCGCATTTTGAGGAGCTTTGCGTAACGCCTGTATTAAATGTTTATGAGCGTCGCTGTATTCCAATTTAGCCGCCTTTATACGTCCTAAATAATATAAAAAGCGGGCCCATTCGTTATTACTTGCTGATTCCGGAAACACAGACTTTTTAACAAGTTTATCAGCTTGATCGTATAGGTTATAGTGTAAATAATTACGCAAAAGACAATTTAGGAGAACAGCCTGCCCTTCGAAATCATTTCGCAAAGTAGCAGTTCGTAAACGGGCATGGAGAAAAGGTCGTATATTTTCCAAATTATTATTTAACTCAGCCACACGGGAATGATAAAAATATGACTTTGCTCCAATCAAATCTAACGTTCGACGGTTTTGTCCCTGTATTTTGCCCATCAAGGCGTCAGAACAAGTAATTGACCGCATCAAATCATTGTCATCGATAAGTTTGACCAAGAGTAGCAAATAAAAGTAAGCATCTACTTCAACAATTGGCGGCTTAGAAGCTGGGCGGCTTTTTGGAAGTTCGGGTTCCGGGGTACCAGCTGGTATAACAGGCGCAAACTTCAAAGCATTATCTCGATCAGAGCCAGCTGGATAAATGAACGTAGCTAAATTGCGTAGCACTACACCGTTGAGCTTACGCCGTATGTTGGGCAAAGAACGTAGAACGCGCAATATGAAACTACATTTTTGTATATTATAATCTGAAGCAGGTTATTTTATAGAAACTTACCGTAATTCTTTGCTGGTTACCGCTTTTTCGATTTGTTTTATTTGCTCTCTTATTTCTTGTATAGCCACTACATCTTGGTCTTTTTTAGGATCAACCGCATTTTCGGCAGAGGCATCAGCCTCCATTTCAACGTCATGCGTTGTGCTTTCTGAAACTGTCATTTTCTTTCTTTTGAATTTAATTAATATCAAGTTTTATGATTGAAGTTAAAAAAAAGTCCTCCCTTGCCAGTTAGAAAATTGTCGAGTAATGCAGTTTAGAAATAACCCACAATTTGCTTTTAATTATTCTTTTTGTATGGAAAGTAAAACATAGGGTGCTGCGAAATGTTTTAAGCAACAAATTATGTCCTATGTCTTAAAAATTATATGATATTGTTCATATGTTCAACACAACAAAGTAATCCATTTGATTTACATATGTTATAGCTTGCAATAATCTTTAAGTCTATATTGTTGTACATTTACTTCTCAATTTGTAAAGAATGCCTAAATATATTTGACAATGTCAACATAAAGTGCGTAGTATACGTAAATGCTGTAAGCATTTTTTACAAGCAAATAAAACGAAAGCAAAAAATTCTGAAGAAGAAGTAAAAACGAATACTTTTCAATTTAAAAGCTAATTAGGGCTTTTATTTTACACTTAAAAGATAATTGCCAAATCAAAACGTTTAAGCAATTCTTTTAGTATGTTTAAGTACGTGAGGAAATTGTGCTCCCCAACTCATTTCTTTTATTTCATTAATCATGAAAAGTTTATTTTCTTTTATGTTAGTGTTTTTCTTATTGTTTTTTAAATGTTTGTTGTTTATCTTTATGTAGACTTCTTCATTTTTGGTTCCCAAATCATGTGGTTTTGTTTATATTTACAACCATTTGGATACTTTTTGTTACCAAATAATAGAATAACGTGGCTTCTTATTGCGTTTACGCCCTGGCATTTATTTCCCCAAAAAACGGAATAACGCATCATTGCGTTTTAACTCAAAGCCAATTGTATATTACGTTAACTTTTTCTAAGTAGTTTTTTTAACATCGCCCTGTTTTCTGTTATAATACAGCCTTTGTATATTTCAAGTAAATTTTACTCTCAGAAAAAGAATTTTATTATTAATATTACTATTATTTTAATTTTAGACTAATGAATTGAATTCTTAGACTAAAAAAAAGGCATTGAGCACTAGCAACGCAGGCTATCGGCTCTAATTTAAATAAATGGGTATTAGATAATAAGAATTTTATTCTAATTGATTTGTTGGATAATCGAATAAAGAAAAGAATTGAACGCATTGAAGGTAAAGGAGAAGAAGATACAATTATTGTTGTGCTCAAACAATGTTGCCATAATTATTATCAATGCTCAATTGCTCGACCATCTGTTAGAAATAGGAATGAGAAATTATCGGCATTTCCTCATCACAAACATAATAATCTTATTTTTTCTTCTGTGCGGCATTTTAGTGATTTTGTAATAATTTTTTGGTTTATATTAAATTTTCATAAAAGTTTGCATATTTATGAGAAAATATATAATATTTTCATCTTAGGTACACACCTTACTTATAGTAAGAATTCTAAAGCAAGCGACAAGCATTGCATATCAAGCATTGTATGCAGTCACTCTTTAGTGTTTTCTAAATATATAACGGGGAGAATATTTTTTTTTATAATAAATATTTTTTAAAGGCTTCTCGTATACTAATGGATGAATCGCAGAAATTGTGCGTGGAAAAGAATAATGATGACGATGAACTCAAAGCTAAAGAAAAAATCATTCAGAGACGAGAAGCGAGACGTAGAAATATTTTGCAAAATGCTAAAAGTCGTTTAGGAAGATTGAATGGACGCGTGTTGACGGCCAATAGTGGAGGCGATCAACGCTCTTATGGTAATATTAGATGTTAATAAGTAACAACGAATTTTAAAGTTATGTAAATTTATTTTAGGAACAGTTGCAGATGAAAGGTACGAATATTCCGATCCAGAAGTAGAACCTGATATTAATTTAATTGGACGTTCAAATACTTATGAACATGCTAATCATTTCGATGAGAGCATGCTAAGAACATTAATTAACGATAGCGCAACAAGGACGTCAACGCAGCGACGACGAAATCGTTTCTTAAAATACCGTTTACATATTATTGTTTGTGCTTTATTCTCACTTATTATTACGACTTTAAGGCCGGCCAGTTCATCGTATGGTTTCAGTATATTCACACTTTCCGGTCTATGCATTATTACCGATTTCGTGTTTCTCCGGGAACAGGATCGTCAACCTCCTATTATGGAAATACTGATGACTTTATGCGGCATAAAAGCAACTCACGCCAGCGTTATTTTGCACATATTTGCAATAGTTCAAAGTTTATTGGTTGATTTAGGTGTGTTTGTATTTAGCTTTTGTACATTTTCATGCATTTTAGTTCTCCTTAACGAGCAATACACTGACTTAATTCTAATCAAATAAATTTATTACTTCCTATGGAAATCAAAAAAAGAAATATTTTTTAAAATAAATTTATCTTAGGTACAATCAGTCAGAATCGAAAGGATCTGCTAAAGAACAACATCACTGAGAACTGTTTCCACTGAGAACATTTATCATATCTTTTATTTTTTTGTTTTTATCGCTCTTTTAAGCGGTCAATATTCTGATATATGTTAGATGTTTGCAAAAGTTTTGATCACTTTTCTGACTTGAAAATAGCATTTATTTTAGAAAATTGGTACAATATTTATTAATCAAAAATAGTTTCCATAATTTTGTAGAATATTTTACAATATTTTTGCCAACATGGCGATATCATATTAGCGATCCACTGAATTTCTGAGAAGGAGAATTTTGAGCGCTCCACGATCAGCAACGGTGTACGCTGAAAACCCAATAATATTAAATGGAAAATTGTTATTTTATGTAGAGGAAGGTCGAAGCCATCGCATTCAACTGTTGCGTACATTGCTATTTCCTATTTCTTTATCATTTTTTACCTGCAAAAGCAATCGCAACAAAAGCATCATGTTGCGTGAAAGGTAATAGTTAGCTAAGAAGACCAAAGAGGCCCACTGGAACACCGCATGTCAAAGGTGCCATCGACAGACCTGATGATGAAACATTGAATATCAAGAGCTGATTAGGAAACCATAATGATATTTATAAACGGGCGACAACCCTTCATACCTTCTGGAAATAGTGGGTCGAGTATATTTACATATTACAATAGAGATTTATTTGAAATCCATTCGAAAATATCCCGCGTTTATAAAAAATCTTATATTGTTTTGCACTTCTAACCAAAGACTGGCAACACCTTACTCTTTTCAAATTTCTTGAAATATAACAAAAACCGACAACTAAACAAATTGAAGTACAGCACTTTTACAATTCGCGAAAGCTTCTTATTAAGCCCATTGTATCAATTTAGAAAAAGCGCCTTCTTGCTGGTTTTGTTTGTTTGGAAGGAAGGGTACCACAAAAAAATAATAATAGTTGACGAGGTTACTAAGCACTTATTTAAGTATTACAAAAATTTTAAAAAATGGCAACATCTTCGCCATGCTATCGACGCATCCTTTATTGAAAGAAGTACATTATGTAATGGCTTAAAGCTGAATCTAAAAAAAATCATTTGGCCGACATGTCTCTAGCTATGGAAATACGTAGGATTTTTAAGAAACTTTGATTTTTGTGCAAGTACTTGAGTAAAAATTCGGCCAAATCGGGCCAAAAGGCAATCTTAGATGTAGCTAAACTTACAACGCGGACTTATTTAAAGAATGTTATTTTAAAAATACTGGAAGTAAAGTATGTTATTTAAGCAATGAAATTATTGAAGTCTTTGGACCTATGTGCCGTTTTTAAAATCTATGTTTCGAGAAACATGTGTTTAAAGTTTGGAAGTTGACTTGTTTCTCTATTATAATAAATTTTCTATAATTTTTTTTACTTTAGTCTTCAATCCCATGTCATCAGATCATAGAAATGCTCTTTCACTTTCAAATATTCTTCCTCATACTCTTTTCACGAAGATCTTTTGGTCTAATTCTAAAATTGTCAGAAAAAGGGAAATGGTCGAAAAACTGATAAGATTCGGACCATTCGCAATATGTGTAATTGGGCCAAAAAACTTTAGTGTAACTTAGGTCGATTCCGAAAGTGACTCGGAATTGAACGTTATAATAAAAGGTGGGTACGTCTCAAGTTCTTCTGGGCATTGCACATATCCGTATAAACTTAATTTACCTTGTAGCATAGGTGATGTAGGGTATAATTGGACGCTTAAAGCCTAATATTTCTAGTGAAAAAAAGCTAGATCGTGAAATATTTGCCTTATGATACTCCAGCTCCAAGTTGATTGTAACACCTTATTATTATCATCTTTTAACTCTTATCATCCTAGGTGGCTGCGTCAATTTTGTTCATGCCACCCTTTGTGCAATTGCAAGGCATTTATAATTAAGAGCAAATTTATTTTCTAAAGAAAAAAATCTCTAAATTTATATAAAGCAATCAATGCCCACCTAGATCCCCTAAAGCCATAAGACAAGTATTAATAAGTACATACGCCCCCACATTTGCGTACATTGCTGTCTTATGATACCTACCTTTTATCGTCCATTAGCAATCTCTTAATGAATTGCTTTCAATTAAGTAGTGATTAGCACACGGATATTCTGTATAGTAAATTTTTGATTAATTATTTATGTGGTGTCCTAACTTCGAGCTTGCTTTTGTATCCAATGTTTCAAAATTGCTTTCCCAAAGAAAATACTGAAGATGAATAAGTTTATATACAAAAAAAAAAGTCCGCAGTTACTTCAATGAGTTTGTACCACGTCTGTTCACATTTGTAATTCCCTGCGTTGTAAGCCCCCTTATGGAAAGGAAACATTTAAATCGTATAACGGTGAGTGTAGCTGTGCAAAGCGAAGCGGTGCACAGCAATTAAGAGAAATTTAACATTGGGTCCGTTTACACGTTTTTACACGTTTTATTAATCCTATTTTACGCGAATATTTAATGTATAAGACGGTCTCTTTTAGATCCAAAGTTTGGTTGAATGTGAAGTATAAGGGATAGAAAAGGGTTTTCGATGAAATGTAAAGTGAAGAAGCGAGAACTTTTTCGCACTATGTTAAAACAGCAGCATACCATCACTGCTCAAGCAATTTCAACCAATCAGAACGTACTCATGAAATGCGTGTTCTCTGATTGGCAGTTGCACACACCACGCAAATTCACTTTCATGACAGCAAATAATGTAAACACACAATGAAATTTCATTGAATCGATTTGAAATTTTCAATATATGAATTCAGTCACATATTGATCGCGTGTACTTGTAATTCAGCCATTAGTAGAGTAGAGCGTTAATAAGTGAATAATATATAATGAAATAAATTGAGAATAATTTATAAATATTTAAATATTGAGATAATTTCATTTAAACATTAAAATGTCTAAATACGAAACGGCGCAAATATGTCGCGAAACATCACCATTTTATCAATGTGAAAATGTCTACTATAATAATTATGGACGCTTAATGGATATGAATTCAATCGAAAGTATGAAGAAATTTGCAAAACAGATTAAAAATTAACATTCTTATTAAATAAATAAATGAAAAATATTTTTCAAATAAATTAATAAATAATTATAAAAACGTTTTAGATAACAAATATAGCAAAGAATATATTGAAAGTATAGTAAAAATTCATATAAAGTTAGATGGTGTGTACGGTTGACACTGTAAAAATAATTAACCGTTTTTTTTTTTTTTTGAAAAATATTTACACGGAATTTCAAAGTAACGCTTTTACATTAAAAGGATGAACTTATAATATTCTGCATTTAATGCTTCTTCGAAAGGTGCCAGCATTGAATCATTTATCCTATCTACTTTACCTTATTGTTCCTTGTAAAGCATAAAACTCTTATCGGTTCACGCCCACGCGCACAGACATTTTTTTTTCTAAGTTGTGAAAGGAAATTTTTAATGAAATTTTAATTTTTTCAAAGTAATTTTCGTCTTGATTTCTTTGAAAGTGTGCCCGACAATTTTTTCATACCACGCATAGGCAACGCAAGACAACCATGAGTGTACGGGCAAGTTTATTTTATCAATACATCAGTCGAATAATAATCTGAACATATATGTTCAAGTCGCGCATTCATCACCGAAGGATGAAGAGTATATGCCTCGCAACAGAACCTAGAAGGAAGCTTCAAAGGGCCCCATAATAAATACATTCTTAATCAGCAGTATGTCTGTCCGTCTTTCCGCCTGTGTCTGTCCGCCCGTCTCTCTTCTAGTCGGACAAATGAAGCTATCGGCTTCAAACTTAGCAAAAATATTAGGAGTTCTCCCACGCAGCTTGGTATTGAAAATAGGACATATTGATCAAAGCACAGGTCCACCGTGCAGCGTAAACTGGGCACGTATCGAGTTTTCCAAGCAACTTTTTTTTCTTTTTTTGCTTATTACTCATAAATTATGAAAGAGAGAAAGCTGAAAATTTCCATTTATTACTTTATCGAGAAGCTAGTATTCGTTCACGCCCATATCAACTTATATAAATGATTAAATTTGTATTTTTTGCACTTTTCTACGTATTCTTCTTTTTACTCATAGGGCAAACAAGGCAGAATGTTGAAAATTATTCCGCACGTTCCTCACATGAAGAAGATATTTGATCTGCTCAAAAATGTGTTAGTTTTAAAATAAAAATCGTAGGCCTCACGAATTGGAGAACCCGCTTTTTCTTGGCAGTATAATCAATTGGGTATCAAATTAAAGCACTGGGGAAGTAAAGGATAGGATAACAATGACGAGTGCAAAAGATTCGCTCACGGCCGTATATAATTTGCTTAATCCTTACAATTGGATTTCTGAAGTTTTGTTTATTTCACAATCTAGGGCAGATGTTGATTTCAAACAGAGCACAAATGTCTTTAGAACAAAAAGAAATCCGCATTTTATGTATTGTGGTTCAAAATGACTACTAGCAGTGGAAATATACATGTGCCGTCGGCATATCGAAAGCTAACCCGGAGAAAAAAACGAATTATGGCTATTTTTTTATACCCATCCTCGAAAGGTAAGGGAAGAGACTCCGAAAAATATATATATATATTCTTGTCCAACATTAAATTCTGAATCGATTTAAGCATGTGCGTCTGTCCGTCTGGTTGTCCACCCGTCCGCGCTACGTCTGCTATAATGAAAGCTAGCGTCTTCAAAATTGCTGAAGCATTGAAAGCCTTGCGCACAGGTTGGTGCTGAAAATAGGCCGATTTCGTTGAAGGACACGTCCACAGTATCACGTAAATATAGAATGAATAAAAAATTTTGTTTTTCGCTCGCTACTCATAAACTACAGTAAATAAATGTTCAAAAATTCGAACGTGTATACTATGGGCCATGTTGTAGCACCTGTAAGAATGAAAAAATTGGCCATCCTTATCAAATGTTATGATATATCAAAATTGCAGTTTTCTTTCCAATACCTTTGCAAAGCCAAGGAGCAAGCTTCAAAAAGCTTACAAAGTACATAAATTCTTGGCAAGTTTCAAATTCGGAATGTCCCTAAGCATATCTGTCTGGCCTACATGTCCATCTGCCTAACTGTGTGAGTGTCTGTGGTAAAGATTCTCTCGAATCGAAAATGACTATATTTGCTTACAGATTTGCAAAATTGATCTGGAATTGTCCTAAATTGATCATGTGCGTAATAAGAACTAGAGACTTTTAAAAAGATCAGCAGTTTACTCTACCATTAAGCATTGTAGTCGTAAACTGCTCTTACTACATTCTAAATGAATTCGGGTGATAAAGAGCGAGGTATTTTCATCTAAATAAAAGTAGCTTGACTGTCTTTATAATTAATTTTCATGAAGTCTCAAAGGTTCAGAAAGGTTATGCGCGATTGTTTTAATATTAACTAAAATATTTGCATAACGCAGCAAGCAAATCAGTACTTTCTTCCTTTCAACAGTTGCAAGTTGATCAAGGAAAATATACAGAAGACTTTGGAAGACTTCTAAAGCAATTTAACGTTTTAGGCTTTCGGACGTGAAGGATCATATTCACCTTTTATCGTTTAACAGCAGACATGACAAGGAATTCAGTTAACAAGTAGGAAATAACATTCACACTGTTAGAAATAACATTAAAAGCATTAAAAACAATTTATTGCGTTTAATTTAAACCGAACCGAATCAATTCAGTTTGATTTGTAGACAGTTTTTAAGTTAGCTGCAGGTGATACCTGTTGTGCTGGAAAATTGATAAACAAAGATGTGATGAAGAGTTCTATTTGAATGCTGAGTGATGAAAACTTTCGACACTTTGATTCGTAAACATAATCTCAGCTCTTCTTCTTCTGCTTCCTGCTTCAAACTGTTTATTACAAATTTCAAATTATCTCAATTTTGAAAATATTTCTTTCCAACTGCTTTCAAAATTGAGAATACATTTGACATTATTTTAAACAACCAAGCGTTGGGGAAGCTCGCGTTATTGGAAATTGATTTAAAAAAAAAAAAGAAAACGATTTGAACTTTGCTTATAACAACCATTCACCGGAACACACAGTTTACAGTTTTGGAAAAAAAAATTTATTACGGGCAGTGCTTCTTGCGCTATCAGTTCGTGTTATGCAATTCATTCTATGATCTCTCAATCTGTTGCACGGATCTAATTGAATTATTACAGTTTTAAAATAAAATGTTGTCAGGCACAACTGTACTTTATACAGCGCTTCATTTATTTTCGTCATAAAATGCCGAAATGTACGACGTTCGGTTCCATTTCATAAGAATGCTTATGCGATTTAATCTTGCTAAAGTAAAAACATGCTTTTTATTATTCTTCGTAAAAAAACTGAAAATGAGACGTTATTGCCATATAAAGGCCGCGGTATTCGTAGCAGAGATCTATGTGATCCAAATTTATTGCGGTAAACTTAGATATCAATCGCGGTATAGTTACGTTATAAGTAAAAACTTTATAGGCAGCGTTCTACATCACCTTGCTTAATACAGTTGCTCATGTGACTTTGACTTTTTAGAATAAGGTCTTATTTGGGAAGTGTTCGAGATAGTAGCCCGATCCGAATCATTTTCAATAGTGTTCCTCCTTGGATCCCAGCACTTCGATGTGTCACATTGAAACCAAATATTTCAGAAATTGAAACTTGTAGGACAGACGGACAAACAAGCTAACTTCTATTGGGAAAGTGATTCTGAATCGATCCGTATAATAAAAGGTGGGTCTATTTCAAGTCCTTGTTGCTGTTATATGCAGCTTATAATAATGCAGAAAGTTATATATGCATTCGATTTCTTGTGCGGTGTATGTACTGACTATTAACTACTTAGGGAATTGAACAATAAACGAGGACGAAAAAGTTCTAAAAGTGCAGAGTTACAGTTTTGACGAGTTGAAAGGAGAGGCCAGAAATAGGGCAAAAAACTTTTAGGGAAGGAGAATTCAAAACGAGAAGGGCAAGTATTTAAGATTCCAATGTATTGCTTCGTTTGATCGATAAAAGGACCAGTCTACTCCATTTTCAATAGGATGCCTCTTCAGGTCGATCTCAAACCTTCCTGGATGCTTTCCGTATATCTGAACAAATGCAGCAACATCAAGGTGTTTGAGAAGAAAGTTATAAACGTTTTCTCTGACTTCTATAGAATTTGTGCTGTTCTCTCGTACGCTTTGCCTTAGTAATTACAAAAAAGTCTACTTCTTATTTAGATTCGTGGAGTTCAGGAGCTTATAGAAGCGATGCAACGAAATCAAATTGTTGTCAGCACAATGATAATACCACAACAACAACTACTTGTACTTTGACAGCTAGCATTACAACAAATCATAATCAATATTATCGATCGCCAAGCTATTGCCTTGGATCCCCTTCAGATTTAGAAGGTAAATAGATATGAAAGCATTATATTGTGTATATATATATATATATATATATATATATATATATATATTGTACTTGAAGATTTGCATAATGTATTTATCTGATGTTTTATTTTTTACAAATTTCTCTATATATTTAAGATATGGAAGGCCAACTTCAAGATAGTTTGTTTACAAACATCTCACCAAAGCCTATTTCTATTGTTCCTCCAGTCCGTGTGATAAAAAAGAGGAATACAGCGAATAAAAAAGAACGTCGACGAACTCAAAGCATAAATAATGCATTTTCATGTTTGCGTGAAAAAATACCAAACGTACCATCGGATACAAAACTTTCTAAGGTAAGTTCTATTTTGCTTATAAAAAATAATCAAAGACGTTTATCATCCTTCATCACAATAATGTTTTCACTTCATCGTGAAGAAGAAAAGTTTATATGACCTTTTGCACTATTCAACAATAGTAAAGCGCTTCATGCTCTATACGTAATCGAAATTATGAATTAACTATGATTAATAATGCTTTTGGTCCTGCTCAAGCTACATCTTCATTTTTTTCCCAAAGCTTTGTTAGTGTAATATATGTTTCCCATATTTTTGAAACACCTTCCTTGTGCTCGTATAATTTGATAAAAGATTGTCTAAAAGAGATGTTTGGAAACGTTTTTACACAAATCTCAATAAAAACATTTTGGAATATATTGCATCCATCGCCATAGATGAGTCGCCAGTCTCCATCCATCTAATTATTTTGATCAGACCCTCTCTTACCGTTCGTTGGAAGTCTTAGATTAACAAAATTTCGGAAAAGATGTTGCAATCTGCCCGATTTTTTCTTTATTAAATAACACCAGATTTATGAAGTCCGTCAATTTGATCGGTTTTTGCTGTTGTATAGCTATTTCTATGAAAAACCGGGTAAATTTTAGTGAATCGTCACAGTCGCAGAAATGACGATAGGAAGCTGCAATTTGGCAAAAACGTTTTTTGATCAATTAAAAAAATATGAGTTCTAAAAATGGAGGTGGTCTGCTCGCACACACGCCCACTATGCAGAAGAAACTGAAACAACTTTCGAAAATACCGGCAATTTTCCGTCGATAATTTTCAATCCAATCTAGATATTTACGAGAAAGTGCAAAAAGTATCTCAATCGGTTTACTAACGCGACCAAAAATGCACAATAAAATTCAATCCAGCGTGCGTTAAAATGAATGCATTCTACTAAAACTCCACTCTTGATAGATTTGTGGCGTAAATTTTAAACAATATATTGGAGATGGATGCATATATTCTCGCTTTTGATAGGAACCATCTTTAGACTTATATATATTCATAATCCAAATTTCATCAAATTATCTCCTAAATTACGACCTGTAGGTTGGACAAAAAAATGCGAACAAACGGATAGACAATCGTAAAACGATTCAAGAAGTGATTCTGCATTGATCGGTGCAATGCTGCTACTTTGTTCCAATTGCTTTAAATGCGCTCTCAAATGAAAACAGATTCTTTATAAAATTTAACTGACACTGTATAGACGACTTAAGCTCGGAATTGCTTTTCAATATACTTTACCAGCGAAAACGAAAAAATAACTAAAGATCGCTTGCTAAGTCACCATATCCAAAGACTGTTCATAATCAGGACATTAATCGAAGAAGTTGCAAGAGATGACATAAAATTACAAATACAATGACTATGCGATTAAAGATTTGTTGTTAGGCATCCGCAAGAGATGATCATTGAAAAGCGTCATCTTCCATTCATTAAGCGATCAAATTATTTATTCGAATAGTAGGAACCTGAAGAAAATTATAATCGATCGTGACCGAATCTTTTATACCCATCACCGTTATCCCAAAACGGACAAAGTGAGCAAAAGAACTAAATTTTCATGCTCTATAAAATTGGATGGACTCAATTGATTTTTCCTATTTTCAGAGTAAAAGTGGTTATTTATATGGTGTTTGTGAGTAACAAGCAAAAGATATGAAAAGCAATGACATTCTCAGTTTTGGTTGTGTAGACCTGTACGCCTTGTATGCGTGTTCTCTGACTTCTTTTGCAAAGTTGTATCATCTTTTTTGCGAACGAAGGAATGTGTACCAAAGGTGCCACAAACAGCACACAGACAGATAGACGGAGTAACACATCGACGGATGAATAGACGGGGAATTCTAAATTTAAAAACTTGCAAACAATTTATATTTTTTATGGAGTTTTTGAAATATGCTCCCACGCGTTTCCATCCTTGTATAGGTGCTACAGCATAGCCCATAGAATATACGCTCAAAATTTTGTATATTTATTTGCTGTAGCTTATGAGTAGTGAGCAAAAAACCAATTTTTTATATTATATTTACGCGATACTGTCGGCCTATTTTCAACGCCAACCTGCGTGCAAGAATTTTGAAGCGCATAGTTTTAGTTTCACTTACAACAGACATTACACAGACAGCTGGACAGAGGGACAATCTTAAATCGATTTAGAATTTGATGCTGATCAAAAATGCATACATTTTCCGGAGTCTGTGAAGCTTCCTTCTGGGCTTTTGCAATCGTTTTGCCAAAATCCTTTAACGATGGGTACAATAAAATCAACAACGCACTATGCACTACAAGTTAATTAAATATTAAGAAAAAAAAAAAAAAAAAAAAACACATATTTTTAATTTTGATATTTTTCAGATTAAAACCCTAAAATTGGCGATTTTGTATATAAAATATTTGGTTGAAGTTTTGGATGGCGATCAAGATCCTAAAACAGGATTTCGAGCTGATTTGAAGCCATCGCATAGAAAAAATTCCCACGAAAAACGAAATTATATTAGATATGACTCTAAGGTAAGAGGAATTTATGATAATTGCGAAAATGTGAATAATTTATTTGTCTTACATTGAAAATTGGCATAATTAAGAATTATGGTTTATTTAATTGCCAGGAAATTGTTTACGTTTCGTATTTAGGCATATCATGTAAATATAACAAAAGCTTAACCCTGCTGTATGTGATAGAAAACAGAGATAAATTTCATCCCACAGATATACAAGTGCATACCTATATATATATATATATATATATATGTGCGTATATATTTATATATAAATGAGATATAAATTTAATAGAGGCAAGAGAAGGCGAGCAAGCAAGCAAGCAAGCAAGCATAAGCAGGCAGGCTCATTAAATGACACTTAAGTAAATTGTATTTTTATAGAGTTTTACTTTCTGCGTTTTGGTGCAGATAAAACATATATAGATGCTTTACATAAAACCGCAACCGCAACACTTAACAATTATGTTAAGTACATAAATATGTTTAAGTCATATAAATATAAATATTTTGTTTGCTCTTTTGGTGGATAATTCTAATCTCTAATGTCGGCCGTTCAATTGATTTCTTATATAAAAGAAGGGTGGATGAAACTTTTTTCAATTGATGGCAAATATTGTGTAAGTGGCCTTTTCTTTCCTTGTTCTTTTTTTTTTTTCTCGTTACTTATACGTTATTACATTCGATTCGGCAAGTGTTTCATACAGTAATAATTGAAAGACAAAGAGGAGAAGTACGATAAAACTGCATATTATTCTGTAAAATAAAAGCCTTTTACATCTGCATACGTATATTGATAAAAGAACGCTTTTAATTGCTTAATGGTCCAGTGCTTTATGCAGCTGCACACATGGCCCTATAATTCTAAAGAAAGAACGACAAGTAAACTATATTTCTGCCTTAAAGCGAATCTTGGACGCCCACCGCTAACTTCAATAAACATTGCACAGATTTTTTTCTTTTTTTTTGAATTACGGATAGATTAATGAAAGCAATATTTTCACGCCGTACCTTCCCCATGGGAAATACTAATGTTTTTGTCTTCGATTTGTTAACCATCTTCAGTGCAACTCGTCGGAAATTGTGTTCGACTGCTTTAATATATACCTGCTATCGATAGTCATCGTATTTTTACATTTCGCACCCCTTACGGTATAAGAGCATGTTAAGTTTGTGTGGATATTTGCAACACACAGAAGAACTTGCGATAGACCCACTTTTCATATACATTCTGGAGCGATCCAGAATCACCGTGTCTGTCCGTATGTCCACTTTGTTTTCTTATATTCAACCTATAGGTTTTGATGAAGTTTAATACACTGTCAAGTTTTAAGCCAAGGACGAACACTAGTTTCGACAACTTCGCATATAACGTTTTATTTTCAAAAGTCGTTAACATGAATAACTGCAGGGTAATGTAACGGTAACTCGTGCTCCGCTATAGCTCCTTTACATGCTAATCTTAAGTCTATGTTTATGTTAATTCTTTTTCGACTTTCTTAGGCTAATCAAAAACACACATATATGAATTGATTTTGCGAGCCATGTGTTTCATTTATTCGTCATTTCTACCGTCGCACACGGATTAACATTGCTAGCATAGGATAAACGATTTGAAACATTTTTTTAAATTATTTTATACGCTTTTAAGTTCTTATCTCTCATTTATTCCATTTTTATGCGAACATATCTTAAAAATATAATTATAAAAATGCCTTAAAAAATATAATCATTTTCTAATTTATTTGTAGTCAACAAATCGGCTTGGTAAAGGCCGCACCGGCTGGCCGCAAGATGTATGGGCCTCTGAGTTAATTCCAGAGCAAGAGTAAGACTTTTGTGCTTCTTTACATTTAAGTTAAATCTTAACTATTGGATTCCTTTATGTACAATCTTAAAATAAAATTAAAAGTAAAAAAGCAACGCAAAGTTATTAATAAAGACGTTTGAGATTATTTAAAAAAAATTTTAAAAAAATTAAATAAATAAAAATCTTTTATTTTGTGGTTACTCACTCTTGTTTCAAAAAGAAGCAAAATTTGTCTTTAAATTTCTATCGGAATTGCTTTCATTTGAAAAACTTCCTCATTCACAATTTGTTTATATTAAAAACAAATTAAAATTTACGTTAATTCCATCTCATCATCCATCGGAAGATCATTTAAATCGTGCACGTCGAACGTAAGAATTGTTTACAAAATTCATTTTCTCCTTTTCCACTTATCAGGCGTACTTTGAGTAAAAAGATGTATTTATTTTCCTTCCTCACTGAGAATTTAAGAATTTTACGAATGAGTAAAATAATACAATGGTAAGCGTAAAAGGTGTATTTGCTATTGTAAAAGCGAATTTGGAATGCGCGATTTCTTAATATTCGTGATCGATAATGCAATCGAGAGACTTAACTCAATGTATGAACATAGTCTTTAATCGACATTTGTTCCAGGTCAAGGTTTAATGGAAATGCATTTCCTGAGTAGATTTATAGGTAAATTGTAGCAATATTTTTACAAACCCCCGGAAAAAGAACAAGTAAAGACATTAACGCGGGACACGGTCCATCAAGGACTATGCTACATCACTTCTCTTATTCAGGTATTCGTATGACGACTTCGCCAAGTAAGGTGTTATATGGCGGTCCCGTACAAACCGTTTTCAGCAGCATTCGTCCTTGAGTTGCTATTAAGTGATGAAACCTTTTCTATTCAAAAATTCATTTTTATCAAATATGTGGTTGTATTTTGGTGACTGAATTCGATGGTACAAGAATAGATTCAGCTTATGCGAATGTACGCAACACCGAGAAGAGCTTGAGATAGATCCACCATTTATTCTATCAATCGATTGATAAGGACTTTCTAAATTGTTGTAAGTTTGTCCGTCCGTCAGTTTGTCCGTTTTGTTTTCTTGTGTTGAATCTATAGGGCGAAATTTTTAATATATTTGGGTGAAATTTGACACATCGATGTGTTTGGGGCGAAGGACATATGCTACTGAAAATGGTTCGCATCGGACCACTTTTTCCACCAACTCCCACATAACGCCTTATTTGAAAAGTCGTTCTATGAACAATTCTACCACACTGTTTTTAGTTGTGTTTTTTGTAGCAAATGTTGTTGTTTTTTAATCCCAACTACCTTTTGTGCTTTACATAAATTCGAACTATGATCTATGAAAATCACTTGAAATTGCAAAAGAAAATATTCTCAATTTTCTTTCATAATTTTTGCGGTTAAAGGAATTACAAATGGAACGTCAATATTAATCCGCTTGTATTCGATCTCAGTAACATGTTCCATTTTGATTCTTAGAATATATAGTTTTAAGCTCTTTTTTCATTTCTTGTTCTATATCTTTGTCCACTTTTATATCTCTATTTTACACATATGGATCAGAAAAGCTTGTGTAGCTTTTTGACAGGCAAGGGATAAGAATATTTTTAATTTGATGTAGTTGCATTCGTTTTTTTTTTTCAAAGCAAAAGCATAAAGAATGTAAATAGCAAGATCTTCCAAAGCTATTCAATTGGAAAATATACAATTTGTTTACATCATTACAAACATTTACACCTTTCTGTACAGGCACGCATTATTCACTCGAATTAATCCAAACATACCTAAGCCGGTGCAAGTCTATTTATAAAGAAGCGAAGCGAAGCAAAGCAATAATGGGTAAAATGTTATATGAAAAAAAAAAAAAAATATTACGTTTTAGGCAATGCATTGTTTACATCCTTTTTCTATTAGGCGTTAATGATATGTGCATCCTAAATCAGTCATATAAATGTTTTAAACACGTCCCTATATTTAACACAAGAGAAGCAACTTCTTATGGATACTGTTGTGATTGTACACATAATCAATTTTTATATAATTCGCTTAGTAAGGAAAGGAAACATTATTTCCATACGTAATCATCTAGTTCCATCCTTACCAACCTGTAATAGGAGATAGCACTAGTAGATACCTCCCCCGTATATGGAAGGACAGACGGATCACTCGCAAATGATAGTTACAATCATATCAAACACAATCGAAAGCACGCAATAAAACATTTGATATATCTTCTGGGAGCAAATGTTGGTTTTGCAAATCACAGCAAAGCAAGTGAAAACTTTGTCGTCCGGCTAGGTCGCCTGTTAAATACTCTATACCACATTGTCTAACTCAATGCCTATTTTTGGCTTAGAACACAAAAATTATACCATTTTTTGTACGAACTTGCTGTCACGGGACTGTATATTAAAAATTAGACCTCTTTGCAAATAAAGGCTTACTTTCCGTCCAAAAATTGTGGTACATATTCAACATTCAGCACAACTAATTTTTATATCAAACTACTATTATGGATCAATTTTTATCATAAAATATTAAAACTTCGACTTTTCACGATTCAATGAGAGTTGTAATCGACAAATGCAACAGAACCACAATATCCTCTTTACCCCCACTTCCTCTTGTTGTTCACCAACGATCTCCTATACGTGATAATGGACATGTTCATGGCAACACATTGTGTCAATTTTTCTCTCCCACGCAGAGACCAGGCAGACGTCTAAACGGGCGCCGCATACGGCGAAAGAGCCAGACGCTTAGAGGCGACGAAGGTGTGTTCAAAACACTTTATGCCTCCACACTATGCGATATACTACCGTAAATTGTCGTTCTTTTGCCGCACCACTCGCCTTGGGAACAACCCACCAACGGTACTCTTTCCTATACAACTCTATCCTTTCTTGTTCATCTCCACTCCTGCAGTCACGTCCACTGACTGGCTAGTCATATGCGCTCGTCATTGAACGATTAATGTACTACACAATAGTAAGTACCTGTAGAAATTGCCAACTTAAAACAATTTTGATGCTATATGCACCAATAAATAGTAAGATATAAGATTTCATTAAACAAACCTGCTGGCATGAATTATGATCAAAATATATTCTACAAACTACTCGTGCTCAACACTTGGAATATAAGTAACTAAAAAATGGGAATAAATTATAAAAGATACTCATACGCACATAAAGTTATGATTTTACGATCGTAAAAGGTAAGCTTGCAAACGGTTCACCCCTTGGCGACGATATTCCCTATTTCTCTAAATTTACTGTATCTGCATAGCGATCTCGATTAATTGAATGCAGTGAATTAAAATAAATGCTTCTTTTTTTTGTTAAAATTTGTTTAACTAACATAACATTTTAATCGTTTTGCATTCATTTAACTAAAACATTTGTATAAAAATTTCATATTATGATATATTAAAAAATTTACCGAACAAACCCGTTTATACTTCTCAAGTGGCGATACCTGATTTTTTAAATATGTATGACTCTTGAATAAGCAGAGGGTTTTGACTTTACTCCGTACATTTAACGTGTAGGAGACTTTCTATGTAATACTGACTTAAAACAACTGTAGCATTACGGTTTATACTGGAGACATATTATATCTAAAGAATTTTATTTTCATTTTTGCCAGAATAATAATATTTACATTTAGGAAATATATTTATAAATAAATTTAATTTATTTGAAAATTTATTTTTTTGAAAGCTTTATTTTTATTATTATTATTATATATCACAATAAAATTAAAAGTATTGTAAAGAGAAATTTTCACATCTTTTTGAAGAAATTTCACAATTTTCACGCTAATGGTCTTTTCGAATATACTCACTCATATAGTTACATAAAATTTAAATTACCTTTTACCAATTTTAAGTACGAGTTGAAATCCACAAAGCACAGGGTGTTGTACAACTTGAGTAAATTTTTTTTTCTATTTTATAGCAACTCTGTTACTCTGTGCAATTGTAGATGCATTAAATTAATTTGTTTGAGTATTCGTAAATAATAATCAAAGCAGTGGTAACACTTATTTGCAAAAATCAATAATTTCCACAGAAATTTTTCTATCCGCTGAAAAAGATATCAAAAATCAGTTAAATAATTAGTTCATTCCAAACTATTTTACGCTATTGCAAATAGTATGACAGTTTATTGAAGTCGCTACTACTACGTAAAGTGGGTCTGATGCCGTAAAAGAAGGCGCTTTTAAATCTAAAAAACAAAAATTTCTTTTTTTTAAATCCCTTTATATAATCAGATATTTCAATTACAAGAATGTCTTTATTACGGTTAATTGCGAATATGAGTGATATGAAAGATTTAGAACATTTATAAAACACAAAGTGTTTTTGTGCAGAAGTGGAAGTGATCAAAATAAAGTGTTTTCGCTAATAAAGAAAACACACACACACTTATTAGCAAACAAAAAAGACTAAAAAGCAATAAAAACTTGGTTTTTTTAGAATACTCAGTGTAGTGGACATATAACTTACACAAGGGCATACACAAACAATCAAATAAAGCCAATTGCACAAAAATCCAATTGCAGTGACGCCATTTTGAAAAACGTCACGCACTGAATAAACAAAAAAGGAATTATAAGTTAAAAAAACTTTTAAGCAAAAGAAGAGACCAATATTTTGTTGCAAATCGAGTTGTTCAAAGGTGTAATGTTAGCTAAGCAGCAGAAGAAGCAACAAAAATTCTTAAGCAAAGCTGAAAATAGAAACGCAGTCAAAAAGAGAATACTTGTACACCCTTCGACAATGTTTAGAAACTTCAATTGCGAATTGATGGAAACAGTTACGGCAATGCAAATCATAAATAATATATCAATAGCGACATATAGAGTTTTAGCAGGCAACAGAATACCGTACCAACAACCGCGGCTGACGGGCATCAACGCTTAAAAAGTGACGACGACCTTCTACTCCAATTGGAACTGAATTTTATTGTTTTGAAAAAAAAGAGCATAAATCTGTAAACCCAAGACGAGGGCCAGGTGGTCGTTAATTCACACAATTTAGCTTGTTAAGTTATATGCATCGTTAGACAAGTGAAGGTTTCAAAGCTACGAAATATTAAGAAGAAGAAAAAAAGAAACGGACTAGTGAAAATCGTAGTAATTTGGATTGACGGTATTCGTGCGTTCCTTAGAATTGGGATTTGCATTGCATAGTTATCAGTATGAAACTCCTAGAAAGTTCTCGTTTCGAAGCCATCAATAACGCATTATCTATTGCTACTGGCGGCAGTACAATTTTCGGACGCGTCGAAAGTTATTCCTGTAAAATGGTAGCCGCTGACAAGGCTTTATATAAACGTTTTACCGCGGAAACACATGGTTACGGGCCACATGACCTGCAGGCGCTTTCGCCGCCCCAAACTTTGGCAGATCTATCCCCAAATTTTCACCGTAACAACAGCCAATCTGGTGACGAAGGTGTTATTCTGTGCGATACAATTTCGCGTAAGACCCTATTCTATTTAATCGCCACATTAAATGCGTCATTTGAACCAGATTATGATTTCTCTGAAGCTAAGGTAAGGAAAGTTTTCACCTAACATTGGAATAAAATCATCTTGAGGCGAACATTTTATACAATCATACTGAGCTTTACTATAAACTTTAAATCTATTCACTTATAGTTATCCCAACAGCTAAGAAAACTGACCAAAATACTACATTCTTTCAAATAAATTGTAAACGAACTTTTTGTAACTGTAGATGAATGCATACATATATTATTAATAGCAGAAATATTAGGCGCGAATATGAATCACGTGAAATCTTCAACAGTTCGTGTAAACATTTCGTTGACTGTATAGTAAATTTCTTGATAAGAAAAGTTCAATGCTTGACAATATTGTATTGTATGGTGAAGCCGTTAATCTGTATGTGTGTATGGTTTTTATATAAAATTTTTAGATAAAGTACTTAAGATTTATAAATTACAAATCGAACAAAGATAATATATTACTTTTTACGATTTATTTACATTCCTGCGTTGAATTTGTTCTATTTTCCAAAATAAAAAAAATAAAAAAAGTTGAATATCGGAGTATTAAAGTCTAAAGTATAAGTTAAACTTTGTAATGCAAATGCCATTATGCTATTTTCAAATCATAGTTTGTTCAGTTCTTTAATTCAATTTAAAACTCCAAATAAACGTTAATTAAAAATATATTCGATAGTTTCTTAAAAACACTATCGTGTGTCTGTAATTTTAAATTATACCAACTTTTTGAGAATGTAGAGTGCATTAACAAGATTCGTCTTTTTTTTATTATAATTTTTTCTTTTTCAGAGTCACGAGTTCAGTAAAGAACCATCCTTGCAATGGGTCATGAATTCCGTGCATTCAAACTTATCGGCTTTAGCTGGTGATCAATATCAGGGTCTGAGACAACCAATGTGGTCGGCTATCGATGATGAAATTAATTTGCATGATTGTGACATTTACAGCTATAATCCGGACTTAAGCTCAGACCCTTTCGGCGAGCCAGGCTGTTTATGGTCATTCAATTATTTTTTTTACAATAAAAAGTTAAAGCGTATTGTGTTCTTTACCTGCCGTGCAGTAAAGTAAGTAGGCTAAGCTTTAGTATTATTCATTTTGTTAATTTTCGTTAACTAATTTCAGTTCACTTTACGCTGGCGAAACGGATGTTTCGATAGAAGATGATTTTTATTAAATTGTTTGCAGAGAAATGTAAAAACATTTAAAGCATATACTTTACTATTGGTATTGTGATGGTATGACAAAAACTTATTTAGAAATTGTCTTAACCATGACCAGGCGTTTAGCTTAATAATGCCATTCAGATATACTTTTTTTTTTTTTGAAAAATGGAAAAACCTTAGTTTTTATTTGAAATCTCAACTGTTGGTGTATTTATCGGCTCAAAGGCAGGTGAGAGCTGCGATGTGAGAATTTGTGCCTTTAAATACGCGCGATGCTTACAAATTAAACAATTATTATTATAAAATAACATATCCATACAATGTAGATTTAGAAAAACATGCTTGAAGCACCAGATATTGTAATAGTTTTTAATTGAATATGAAATATCTCAAGAACTAACATAAAATCGTTCGGTAGTTGTTTTCAATTTTGACAGCTTCACAAGAACTTCCTTTTAAATAAATTGCTTTACGTAATTCACTATTTAATATTTGATTACACGTTCAATAAAAACATCACTTCGCAATTACGTAATGAAGTAAGTTAGCAATTAGGCAGATCACAATGGCAAGAACAAACAAGAAATAATCCTGCTTTATCTATGAATCTTCGTATTTTCTTTAATAAAATATTAAAATAATAATTATTACAAATAAATCTGAGCTTTAACTCGATGAATGTCTTTATTATAAAGGTGAGGTATTTATGTTTCAATCTTTGGATCGAGTTCCGTGCATTTTTTAATTATTTTTTCCGGCTCGCTGTCTGTAATAAGTGTTGTAAATGAATTAAATCGCTCCGAATCGATATGGGCCAAACATAAAGCAGCATACTGGAATTTTGTACCAATAATTCTCAGATATTGAGAATATTTAATATATAATTATGAAATAGCTTACCTTTACAAATAGTGGGTAGTAACGACTTTCTTTTTCGTCCACCGTAGATATAGTCAAAATCTTGATTAAATTTTCCCAATCTCGTCTTAATAGACATTGCCGAGCGTATTGCAGCTTCACATATGTGCTCGTCATGGCTGGATTAGTTTCATAGCATCGATGTATGGACGGATTACATGAAATATTTTCATCTTTCCAAATTTCATGATCGGAATTTCTTAACATTTCTAAAGCCTCTGTAAGTTTATTTCTCGGAATCTTTCTTTTAGAAGAAGCACGAAGATTGTTTTTATAAGTCTTCTGCTTCTTTGTCAATCGACCTACACTTAACTTTTCTTTGAATGTTGAAGCTTTTCGTTTTGCCGTAGTTTGCTTAGTGCTTTCTTTCGATAATTTATTTGGAGATTTAGCCGACGAACCAATTTTCGCAGATTCTGATCTTGACTTCATTTTTGCTTCAGGGTTAATTGGATTGTTTGCAAGGAAAAAATATTCTTCTTCAAAATATTAACAAATATCCCTTATATTCAAAAATATACCAAGTACGTGTTTTCTTGGTTGCACGTTTATCGTAAATAAATTAGAAATTGTATTATAAAAACAGGCTTGTTAATATTAAATTATTTTCCTAACAGTACTAACCAACCAACATATTTGTAATCTCTTTGTGTGCTTTTTTGTTGTAAAGATGGTGCTGTGTGTAGTTGGTGTTGCAAAATGTTGCTCCCTGTGCGTTTATTGTTGCAAATTCTAATTTGTGTTTACATTTGCCGTGGTATTATTTACATATTAAAAGTAAGGCCATATGCATTTTGTTGCGGTAAAAGTAGTAACACAGATATGTTGTTGTTGCATTTTTTAGAATTTTTGCTATCAGGTGATTATCGTCTGGTTATTTTAGGACACAATTGACTATCATCAAGAGGCTAATCATATACTATCGACGCCAGCCTTCCAATACTTCCCTCAAATTTTCCATTACAATAAATTAATAGATGAGAGAAAGTTAATAAATGAGAGCCAAATTGACATTTATTTGTTTTATATAAGTAAACTACGTATGGTAAACAATAACAAACATGCAAAATGAAATCAATAGAAAATGATGTGGAATTTTACAAGTTAAAAAGGTAATAAAATCAAATCCAATATTCAAAATTTTTATTGCCGAAAAAGTTAATTATTCCGTATGGTTTTCTTACGGATTTCCCATAAAAGCAAATGTTAAAAGTTCCGTTAAAGTGATTAATGCATATAAATGATATCCTCTTCATCTCGTTTTTTTCATGAAGTAAATAAAAGTAGATAATGGTAAATAAAACCGTACAGTTTCTGTATTTATTTAATTTTTATGTTAATATTGTAAAAATATTTCAAAGATTGCTATGTTTATAAATTTCGTATCAGCAATCCTCTAAAAAACAACACAAACATCAACACCATCATCTTCATAGGTCGCCTGGAGTGCGGGAATAATCAAATGATTTCCTCACACTTTTTAGTGGACGCAAACATTGTGCAACGCCACAGAGACGTTTGCGATTCTTTTAAATTCAGTAAAAATTAGAAACAATTTACTTACTCGTTTTGAGAATGCGCTATTGGCATAAGCATCCCACAAACCTGTCTGAAGGTGGCCGCTGTTGTCATTGTTGTTCTCTTCAATGAAAGAGCATAAAAGGAAGTTAGGATACATTGCGTTGGAAATGTACACCGTTAGCTCGATATTTAAAAAAAGGACTGTACTTGCTTTTACCAAATTTGTTGTCCTTTTTCCTCACAATTCACATACGTAATTTCGGACACTTTCCTTTTTCTTTAATTTTTTAAACTTTTTGAATTTATAATTCATGTTCTAACAACTGTTCGTATATTTCTTTCACAGCTGTTTTTTTACAAATGCAACTCTAAAAGAGAGATTTGAGAGATAAATTTGCTTGATTTATACTCAATGCTAATGCAAATTTGTTCTCAGCGACAGCAATTTTATTGTCGTCAGATTTGATACAACTTGGAGAGCGTATTTGGTGACAATCGCCAGCAATTTGCTGACGATTAGATTTTCTTGGCATTTGTCGTCAGCTTACATGTTGTTTTGATAAATTAAAGGATGTCAGTGACTAAAGCCGAATTTCAATGCTAAATGAACTTCCTTGAACTTGATAGTCTCAATCGACAATATTCAATCTAAACTGAGAATGTTACCTTCATAGTTTGTCTCACTCATCTTCTTAAGAAATAAATTTCAAAAATGCACGCTCTGTGAATCAAATGATAATTAACAATTTTTTTACCTATTTGCAACTGGCCAATGTGAATGCAAAGTCTTGGGCTGCATAAGAAAAGTGTCACCCAAAAATCCCAAAAATGAGGTGGAAAATATTAAACAACCGCTAAAAAAATGAAATTTGTTATACCAATCAACAAATGCTAACATACCTAATGGATTTCCTAATGAATGAGACGCATGAAGAGATCAAATTCCATTTTTTTCATTTTTTAGTGCAATTCTAAAAAATTTTCGTTAAAGCGCTTTATTATAAAAAGCGCAGAAATCAAGACGGTCTATCCTACTTTTTTACGATATTCCTCAATATATGGAAACTGATCAATATATATATGTATATAAATCCATATTACTACAAAAACTTACAATACTGCATTAATCAACGAGACAACAAAAAATATGTTCTCAAAAACAAACAAACAAACCTTTAAGATTTTCATAGGATTTTGATGAATAATTTTCTCTAATTTGTGATAAATACATTGGAAAACGCAAGAAAATATTTACTGTGAAAGCAATTTATTTAGAAAAGTGTTAAACCAGAAAAAGCTGCTGTATATTAACATTCTTTGCATTAATGGGCGCAATAGGTATTATTAAAAAAAAAAAGAAAAAAAAGAAACAAAAAAAGGCAACTTTTTCGATGTACATACCCAAAAGAAAACTTGGGACAATTAAAGTATACAGATATTTTTCTTTCGCAGATTAGCTGTAAGTGAATTTTGAAAGAATTGTTATAAAATGGAAAATGGCGATGAATGTTTGGATATGGCTTTGAATCCATTTCATAGGCCACCCAATATGTTAATGGATGATGACTTGAATAGGGTTACCCAGGAAGAATTAGAAGCAAATTTGTCCACCGATTATCCTACCAATGAAGAAATTGGCGGAGGAAATAAAACGAATGACATGTGGGAACAATTAATACAAAGTGTATTAGAAGATAGTTCAACGCAAGAAGCAATCCTAATAAAGTCCGAGGAGGAAAAAGAGAAAGAAGAACAATACGAAGGTGGGAACGTGGGGCAAGAAATATCGGAATCATGTACAAATAACGACATGAATATAAAAGAAGAGAATTCAGTAATGGACTTTAGCTGCGAAGAGGAGAGATTATTGGGCCAAAGTGAGGACAAGTGTTTCTACGTGGAGGAGGATATGTGTCAAGTCGAAGAAGTTTATGCTTCACCAAAACATGACGCCCTCGAGCATTATGTTGATAGCGAAGATGAGAACAATGAGTTTGCCAATGAGGATGAGGACACAGATAGCAAAAGTGATAAATCAGTTATTAGTCTTGGCCGCATAGTATGGGATGGAAAAACAGAAGTATACAAACAAGGAGACGTATTTGATGAAATTAATCGTAGCTTGACCCAAGAAAATAATCATAATCGAAGTATTTCACAGGAGATGGACGAAGATGAAGCTGATGTGGAACAGAACGAAGATAAATTATCGCAGTTATCGAATATAATGAGCGATCATTGTTACATTTCGCAAGAAAAGGTATTCCCCAAAAATGAGGTGGAAGATCTTAAACATAGCTTAATTAACCACTTAAAGACGAAATTTCTTGCAAATACCAATCAACAAACAATAACTGAGCTAGTGGATTCCCTATTGAACGAGACAGATGAAAAAAAAATGAATAAAGTTTTAAAGAGTTTTAAGGAGGCAAAGGATAATGTTGAGATTGTGAAAGAACATAAAAAAGACGATCAAATAATGGAGGGACAATCAGAATTGGAAATGGGTTTAAAAGAAACTTTAGATAAATGTGTTGAAAATATAATGGAAGAAAATTGTCAGCTAACACCAGCCGAAGCTAAAGAGCAAAATATGTTGAAGGAATCTGTCGTTGACTTTGAAGGAGATTGTTCTGATATCAACAAAACGGATCATCCTACGAGCCTTCCGCCTACGCAGTCTACGAATAAATCTGAAAATTGCTCGGAACCCTTAGAACAACAAATATTCGATGAAGAATTTGATTTACTTTGCAAAGCTGGTTCCTTAGCTCAACGGCAAGAAACAGCCATTAATAAAAATGAAGTGACAAGTTTCTTAGGAAAACTGGAAGACTTCGCTTTAAATTTACAAAACGACTGCAAGTCTTTCGCCACAGCCTCTACGAATATTGAAGGGAAACTGCAAAATTACGTACGACAACAATTACAACACTTTCGCTTAATCTGCAAACCGTACACCTTATCGTTAACCAATAATATGGAGGTGCAAGTTACCTTAAAATCGATGGCCAGGCATAAACGCATTAAACTTAATATGGAATCGAAAAAGAAGCTATTAAATAATGGCGATAGTTCATTAGAATCTTGTTCATCTTCGCCAAGTGATAACGACGATGAAGGCGATGTTAAGATTTGTGAACTAAAAGAAGCGGACAATGCGAAAACTAAAAGGATGTCAAAGTTGCCAGCTTCGTCTTCTTCATCGCATTCCACATATGCTCCAGAAATGCCGAATTTAAATTATCAAGAAGAAAATGGTTGCAAATTATCACAAGACTATGATGACGGTGTACCTCTTACCAACTATTTACAATCTGAGATATTTGAGTGTGAGCAACTGTCGAACACTAGTTCATTGTCTTCTTCAGACGAAAGTGCCCGCTCAGTCGTTACAAATCCAAGTAAGTCATTAAAATCTTCGAAGAAACTGTCTGAGGTGGATGACAGCCAAGACCTTTTCGACAGTGTCAGTGATGGTGTACTTACTGGCATTAAGAACAAGTCTAACGCAAAGCGGTGTTCCGTGGAAAGTGATACGAATTTACTGTCTTCGGCGAATCGCAAGATTGGCGGTGAGCTTAACGAGAAGCCTTCAGAAATGAAAAGGAAATGTTCAGCCTCTTTATCGTTAAATAGCGAGAGCGATAAAGAGAATAAAGATAAACGCTTAATGGATTTTGAAGATGAGAGCGATAAGAATGATAGAGAGATTGAACGGTAAGAGTTAATTTCCAATTTTTTTGCTTTAAATTCAGCCAACTGAAATTATTATAAAATTGTAGTCTGCTGAACTTAGATGCCCTTAATAAGCGATCCACACATACTGGCAGTTCTGGTAAAACCAGTGATAAATCCAAATCAAAATTGTCTTCAAATAAAGGCGTAAATAACGCTTTTGATTTTTTGGATGATGAGTTGGGTTCAGATGACAGTAAAAGTGAAGTGAGTATGTAGAATCCTACACATAAATTGAAAATTACGTGTAAGGTGATACATTCCATTAGTTGAAGATTTAAATATTAATTAATATGAAATTTTATCCTTATTAGTCCGAAGACGAAATCATTACAGAGAAGCAATTCTTGGAGCGTTGCAATGAAGATGTGAAAAATCAAATGTTGAATGAATCCAGTAGCGATTCGGATGAACAAGGATCAAACGAGGATGATGAGTTATTGAACATACCGTCTGATGGAGATGATGATGATAGCGGTAAAAATTCGCCCCTCGTAGAGAAGTTTTTGAAAACTTTTAAAGTTGAAGATAGTGATAAAGAGTTGGAGGATGATGATGACGATGACATGTTAATAGACAGTGATAAAGAGGAGCAAATGGATAAAGCCGCCGAAGCAAACACCAGCGAAAAGAGCAATGACAATGGAGAAGTTGAAGATATAGTAGATGAAAAATTGAAAAAAAAAGATGAAGGAGAAGGATCACCAACCTCTTCAGATCTTGAGCTGCTTAATGATAATTTCATCTTTCGTAAACGAAACGCAAAGCCAAAGCAACTTGATAAACTTTTATCTGACGCTGAAAAACGTAAGCGTATTAGTCGTATAGACGAAGAGTTAATTAGTTTGAGTTCGGAGAGTTCTGATGTAGAAGCTATTGACGAGCCACCTAATGAGACTAAACCAAGAGCTATTAAACCAATGCTAAGGCAGGATCAATTGGCTGGCGAGACAATTAAAGCTCAAAAAATGGAAAATGAACGCATTGCACGCTTGGAAAGGAAACAAACGATGTTAACGAAGATACTTAAAGAGCATCCTGAAGTTGATAAAGACAAAGATCTTGTGTTGGATTATATAAAGGATACAAAAACGTTTATTAAGGTTCATCCACAAATTGTGCGTTATTTGAAGTCACATCAATGCGATGGACTTCGCTTTATGTACGATTCCTGTTACGGCGGTGTAGATTCGCTTAAGAAGAGCGCTGGTTCTGGTTGTATTTTAGCTCATTGTATGGGTCTTGGAAAGACTCTACAACTAATTGCTCTTTTGCATACTGTGATTTCCTTTAAGGAACTAAAAACCACAAAAATTTTAGTCTTGTGCCCGAAAAGTACGGTGATGAATTGGGCAGATGAAATCATTCGATGGTTGGGTCCGTTACGACAAAAGAATCTCAAAGTTTACACTTTTAGCGATACATCGTAAGTCATATGAATTAAGAGTACAAAATTCAATATTTGCCCGAAGCTGTGAACAGGGATATTACAACTTTGTTTTTTATTTGTAACATTTACAAATTCTTATGATATTTAGTGAGAGAGTAGTGACACCTGAGTGGAAGACACCTGCAGTTTTGATGACACTTAGAAGCACTCAGCAAGATCCATAACGTAGAGTTCTTTTAGAAAAATCAATTCCATTAGAGAATGTACATGCTAAGCAGAGGTGGCAATATTTTGTTATGAATAAAAGTTTTCTCTTAAATAATAAATCAATGCTTTAAGCAGATCTCGTAAAATATAATTGAAAACTTTAAAACACTTAGGAAAACTGACAGCAATTTATTCGTGGCTTTCGTTGTGGATCTAGATGAAGCAACATGTTTACCCTTAAAATATGTAAAAAAGCAAAAATACTTGTCTGTCCAGAGTTAGTTGGTATTGCAAGTCAATGTTAAGGGCTTACAGATTCGCATCCGTCCAAACTATCAAGTTAAAAAGTGTAAAGATAAATTTTTAAACAATCAATTCTAAGATCTCGCTAAAACATATATAAGAATATGCTAAAAATAAAATTGATAGTTTGGATTCGGTTCGTCGACAAGATCATAATTAGAAGAAGATTGCCGCAAGGACCTCTATCGAACACACACACACCCACACACACTTAACAGATAAGCCATAGAAAATTTCATGCTTTAAAATGCTTGTATGAAAGCGATTTAAAGCATATAAAAAAGAGAATAATTTAGCTTCATAAACAGTTTTCTAAGTCTTCCTTGAAAATCTTGTTTGTAATAATTGAAAGAAAAAAAAAAAAATGATTACAGTGACATCAACGAAAAGCTAAACATATTACGAGAATGGTCGTTGTCAAATAGCACAAGAGCTGGTTGTCTTTTAATTGGTTACGAGGCTTTTCGGACCTTAGTTTTTTACCATTCCTATAAAAAACGAGGCACTATAAATCCTATGCGCTTGGAAGAGATACGTAAAAACGTCAATAGTTATTTGCTAGATCCCGGTAAGTTCATTCTATTGTGAGTAATTAATTGAATTTGTTTGTGTTAACCAATTTAATTAGGTGCTGACTTGGTTGTGTGCGATGAAGGACATATCATTAAAAATAGTAAATCGGCCATTAGTTTGGCGGTAGCTAAAATTGTAACACCACGTCGAATTGTCTTAACCGGTACCCCTATTCAAAATAATCTCAAAGAATGTAAGTGTTCCTATTAGTAATTCTTCAACATATCCTTAAGCTGCTTTTTTTAAATATATATTTTAGATTATAGCATGGTCAATTTTATTAAACCCTTATTTTTGGGAACGGAAAAAGAATTTGCTAATCTTTATGCTAACCCCATTCGAAATGGACAACATAAAGATTCCAGCAAAGCTGATATAAAAGTGATGAAACAAAGATCATTTGTTTTACATAAGAAGCTATCCAAATTTGTTCAGGTATGATAATGCAATTGATTAATTTTGTATGCAAATATGAAATAATGCTTTTAATTGTAGCGAAAAGAAGCTGAACTGTTGAAAACGTTTTTACCGCAAAAATTTGAATATGTTTTATTTATACCAATGACTGAAGTTCAGGTAAATGCTCGTGGAAATGGACATATATATTCAAAATGATATTTCTTATATTTCTTCTTTCTAGAGTAATTTGTATACTTTCATCTTAAAATCAATAGCGAATCGAGAAGATCATTACCGCGGCAGAGGGCTCATAACAGATTATACTTGTTTGCGAAAGGTCTATATTTGCATTAATATTCAACATGTAACAAAATATTTTAATCTTGTAATCAACTAAACACGCTGTAATCTCAAGTGGGAAAGAATCACTTCGTTCCGTACTAAAAAAAATTTCAAGCACTTTACGGTACCTAAGGAACGATCCAAGTTCATTTTACTTCTTTTTACCGCAGATCTGGAGATTTTTAAGTTCCGCGATCATTTCCTAAATCACGCTGGCTTCCAGTAAACTTCCGTCATTCTCTTGGTCACTCAAAGTCTTAGGAGACTTCTTTAACGGTCTCCAAAAAATTTCATATAAAATTAAATCTTTACAAGTTTTACTTGACGTGAAGTGTTCATGTGTTTGTGTATTGCGGGATTTCCTGCATATCCATTTAAAATCAATTTAATGAGATTTTATAAACACCTTAGATATTATTGTTTATAGCAAAATTCCCTTTCTCACCAATTTTCAAATATACGTTATTTATAGATTTGGACTCACCCAAAGGTATTAGAAGACGCATGGAGAAATGCAGTTAATGTAAGTTCAACTTTCTTAAAAAATATTTTTTAAAAACATTTCTTATATTTCTTCTGAACTTATACAGCAAAAGAATAAGAAGGATCGAGAGAAAGATTTAAAAATTAAAAATCAATCTGACGATGATCAACCCGATGACATATACGATAGCCAGACAGGTCAAATGTCAGTAATTAATGATTGGTGGAGGCATTTATTAAGTGAAAAAGATTTAGAATCCGTGATGCCCAGCAATAAACTAAGAACCATGTTCAATATAATACAAATGTGTGAGGAAAAAGGCGAAAAATGGTACGAGAAGTAGAACAAAAATAATGAATGTATGAACAGTTTCTTAAATATATATATATTTGCAGTTTAATATTTTCAGCATTTGTGGCTGTTTTAAATGTAGTGGAGCATTTCTTTAAGAAAATTACTGAAAAAGATCCTCAAGTTTTAAAGGAATTAAGTAAGTTTCTCTATTAAAATAAATGGTTGAGAATATTTTAACTTGGAAATTTTTTTAATTGCATACTCACAGATGTCAATCCGAATTCACAGTGGGTATTGGGCGAAGACTATTATAGATTAGATGGCAAAACACCGAAAACTATACGTCACGAAATGATTAACGTATTTAATAATGTGTTAAATAAACGAGCACGTGTGTTTTTGATTTCGGCCAAAGCTGGTGGCCAAGGTATTAATTTAATAGGCGCCAACCGGGTGATTATACTAGATACATCATGGAATCCTTCAAATGATCAACAAAATATATTTCGGGTGTTTCGTTTAGGACAGAAACGTAATTGCTACATTTATCGTTTATTAGCTATGGTAGGCGCTACAAAGGAATTTCTGCATAAATATTAATTTTTGTACCTACTACCAAGGCATGTTCTTTTTAATGTTTCGAAATACGAGATTCCATTAGATCTACACATTTCTGATTTGTTTGGATTTTTGTTCTCGAATTGATCCCACAGCTCGGTATTGAAAACAAAATGGCCCATTTCTGATTTTTATACACAAACTATTTCGAAAAAACTCAACCGAAAATCTTTTGTACTTTAGTTTTAATTACGTAAAACTTAGCACCGACATCGATTTGAAATTGTGCACTACTATCTGTTCTATACGTAATCTCTCTAAATCAACCCTTTACCATAACTCTAAATGATAAACGATAAAAATGTATATCCGCATACGTTATGTGTCCGTGGTAGTGGGTCCCCGGGATTCGCTCGAAGGCGAATATAATTGCTTTATTTGCTTCATTTGTATATTTTACTTTCAGGGCACTATGGAAGAGAAGGTATATTCTCGTTCGGTCACAAAGCAGGCTATGAGTTTCCGAGTGGTTGATGAACAACAAATTGATCGACATTACAATATGGCTGAATTAGCTGAGCTATACACGTATGCATGGTTTAATTCATTATTAATGGTTTCAAATTTTTAGTCGACATTCCTGTGTTTAGTTTGACGAAACCTGATTATACCAATCGTCCTACCCCCACATTACCTCAGGACAGCATATTAGCTCGGTTATTACGTTCTTTTCCCGATTTAGTGTTTAAGTACCATGAACACGACAGCTTGTTGGAAAATAAAATTGAGCAAGAATTAAGCGAACAGGAGAAAAATGAAGCTTGGACTGCCTACGAAAGAGACTTACAATTAAATTCAGAAGTTCGGGAGCTACCGAATCTGGAAGAGTAAGTTTTTCTACATATATAAAAACGAATAAGTTTTTTCTTTGCTAATAATCACCTATATTTTGTCGTTCTTCCTTACAGACTTCAAAATAATTTCCTTGCCTCAAAATTACAAAATTACATGTCTCCTTTTGCGGGACTAGATGTGAGTAATTCTAGTGCAAGTAATGCAAGTAATATTAATAATAATAACAGTAGTAAAAATGTGAGTATTATTATGATTTGCTTTTATTTTTGTTTTTTATAATTTCTTTGATTTTTTTGAGAAATATTTTGATTCATTTCGGTTTCATTTACTTCTATTAACTACCCGTTTTCTTTATTTGTATTGAACAGCAAGTAATTTACTTTAATAGCCGCACTAATCTCTTAAAAAAATTAATTACAAAAACACTCAAATGCACTTTCTTAAGCTTCCAAACTCTGACAGTAGCTTGATAAACTAACTGTACTCATATTGTTATTAAAAACTCGAGAAATTGGAAAAAAGTGGTTGGCTTAGTAGTTCTTATAATCCCCTTTAGCTATTAACGTTGAACAAAAAAATTTAAGTAACTACTTTCTCTTGCTTGGTTTATTCAATTGAGTGTAAAGTAGCTATAAAATAGTATGGGAACTTTTCTCAGGTCAAAGGGCATATAATTGCATGAACATCTTGTTAATCACTATGACTCTATGATGCTTTCACTCTATTTTGCACGATAATAAAATCAATATTGGTTTTACAGCTGCTTGCTGGGTTTTGACAATGGCCGAATTACGGTTTATTTGAAGCTTTGTTATGGTATTATTAACATTTACTGTTGGATGTTTTTTTTTGAGTTATGATTGTGCTACGTCTACTTCAAATAGACGTAACATAGATAAGTAATATAAGACGGAGCTATATTTTTATATCGAAGCAATTGTAGCCGCATGAACATCTTGTTGACCAGAACGATGACTGCATTCGACGTCTTTTTTCACTCTACTCTTCTTTGATATTTTTTTAAGAACTGCTTTCTACAACCAGGAGTAAAATGCTTATTCATCGTGTGAAAACGTTTGTAACACTCGTCAGCCTCAAAAAATCCATGAAGTATTTATTCTTGCTCAATATCAAATTCTTAATCGATCTAGGCAGGTTCCTCTGTTGTCACGGGCAAACATCTCCGCGATGGCAAAAATCAGGATCTAACATTGATAACTCTTGCACATATCTAGATGTCGTTTTGATTTTTTTTTTTTTTTTTCAAAATAAAAGTGTCGAAGATGAAAATAGAAGAAATTTAAAGATAATATATTTTGTTGAATATATTTTAAATTTATTTAAATTAATATCCGAAGCAGTTTTTTTACATTTTTTCAATTTCGTGGAAAAACTTTTATTTTTCTAAAGAAAGATTTTTGGTGCTTTCAATAAAAAATTATTTTTTTTTTACAGCTTCTTTCCCATACAGAGATATTCGTAGATGTAACAATACAAATGCATATTCAATCATATTTTACATCAACCGCAACCATACAAAATATACTCTACCTTTTAATTATTTGCGTATTTGTCATAATAACTTTTTTCAAATTTCTCTGTTCTCTTATATATTAGATGTCATCTCTATTTAATTACCGAGGTTTCGGTCAACCCTTTTTGCAATCTATGGTGGGCCAGGCTAATAATACAACTGCAGCCACTCAACAGTATTTGGACTTTTACAATTACTATAAAAATTTAAGCAGTTACACAGATCTAAGTCAATATACATCACCTTTGGCGCCCAATCCTAATTTATTGGGGAGATTTCCCAGCTCAGGACCTGGAGCACCGCCCAGTAATCCTTTGTCGGCATTGGGAGACTTAAGCATGCTGGCTAGCACCGCTTTGAGCGGTTCACCAAGTTTAACAGGCGCTGTTTCAAAAACAATGAATCCTGGTTTACCCCCCATGTTACCGCAATTGCCGAATACGTCTATGTACAGTTCACCGGCACCTTCTGCTTCATTACCAAATAGTATGCCAATCACATCAACCGCACCATTAGGTACTGGGGGAGGTAATGTTGCCGGCAGTAACGCGTCTCTTTTATCGGCCTTTGAACAATATACACAATCTTTCCGTAGTCCTTACACCAATATGTACAGTTATGCTAGTGATTTTGGCTTAGGTACGTCAGGCACTACGATACTTGATAAGTCAAAATCAAAAACAACAAAATCGAATCAATCTTCAATGAATAGTAGTTCGAGCGGGCCGAAGGGGTCAACAAACTTGCCGGGAGGCTCGACAAATGAATTTGCAAATCAATTCACTGAGCCAGCACCTTATCTAACGTTAAGACCCAAACAGCGTAGCGCGCTTGGTGTTGGTAACATCGTGGATCAGCAACAAACAAAATCTTCGTCTGTAAATGAACAATCTAAAGAACGAAGTAATTCCATGTCTCGAAGGGAGACAACCAACGATTTAATTAACTATAGAAGAAATGAAATGAAAGGAAATAACAAAAATGGACCAGACGGTGCTATAAAGAATAGTTCGGCAATTGTAAGTTCTGTTAATACAATGAACAATAGTCAACGTAAATTATCTAGTAATCGAGATAACACATCTGCGAAAACTTCCAGTGTAAATACAATAAATATTAGTAACGGGAAAGCAACGCCTACATCCTCAATGCAACTTGCGAAAACTTCCTCGTCTAGTACAACTCAAAGCAGCAATAATACCAGAACAGTAAAAAGCTCCCCGGTTTCGGCGTTATCAAGCTCCTTGAATTCATCGAATCAAAAATCCAGTGGACCCAAACAAAAATCTGGTAATATGAATGGTACAGCATCAGGTAAACCCAATAAATCATCGAATTCGGCAAACAGTTTAGATTCAAACCGTGCCGTAAATATGGGCATTTTATATCCAAATAACTCCAATGGAAATTCTAGCAATTCTACGGCAAATTCATCAACTGTCAATATGGGTATAATTTATCCACATTCTAAATCTTCTGCTGGCAAAAATTCTGGGGAAATGCAAATTATACCAACTTCAAGTCCACCTGGTACTACAAGCATATCAAAGCAATTAAATGATTTATCGCCTAGTATATCCTTAACGGCTCTAAAAACGAACACGACGCCGTCAAAAACACAAGTACAACAGCAAAATTTAACGAAAGCTTCTAACAATATGACCATATTCCCTAAGGGATCGCAATCAAATAGCAATAGTAATCGCAAGACTACAACATCTTCTATTAATAATGTTCAAAGTCTTAGTAAGCCTGCAATTTCAGTTAGTACTGCCACATCGTCAACTGGCTTGACGATTAGCAATTCCACTGCAAACCAAAGTAATCAAATGATCAAATCAAGGATTACAGGTAGTGTCAATAAAAAGTCTGCTAGTGATACGCCAGCTCTTGCCTCAGTAGGGACGAAAACTTCGCTTCCAGTTACTAACGCTACGTCAGCAACGAATATAAACAGTCTTCGGAAGGTTGTACCCAAGAATCAAACAATGAATCGTGGTGGCTTAACAATAACTGCCACACGAACAACGGCCACTCCAACGTCGATCAATATTACGAAATCTAGCAACTCAAACACGATTGCTTTGGCTAAACAAACAGCAGCCGCTGTGTTAGCTAAGTCCAGTAATACGCAAATGAACGCGAATACTGGTCGCAATGCAACCAGTAGCGGTATTTCATCACCCAATACTTTGCAAAAGAATTCAAGTGCAGGCTTAGCAGCGACACACACACAGTCGCCCATGTCAGTGGCTGCCATTAAAAAAACTGTTATCAATAGAGCTTCGCCGATTACAGTAACGGCTAAGTCATCGCCGTCAACCGCTGCCACGAGCAATGGTAATAATAATAATAAAAGCAATTCCGTTATCATTAAATCGGCAATGCTGAGTCCGCTCAGCAACAACTTCAATAGTAGCAATAATTCAACGAAAACTTTAACAAAATCAAATCCATCAATGAATGCGAATTTGAGTCGTTCTTCCCCTATACCAAAACTTTCTCCAATACCTTCCGTAAGCAATGTTTACAAAACATTACTTCAAAATCGTATACCTGCCACTATCTCCTCAACAAATATAACTTCTTCTGCATCATCATCGCTACCATCATCATCATCATCGTCATCTTCAGCACCAACAATACCTTCAACAGCGAATTCAAATACTGTAAATATTGTTAGAAATACAGTGAATATACGACCTGTGGAGGTGAAACAGAATTCTTCTGGATCGGGAAATGTTTACATTATTGAAACCAATATCAATGATAAAAAGGTTGCTATTGGAACTCCCACTAAAAGGTGATCATTTAATTGCTTTAATTTTTCCTTATTATATGAAAATTCATTATTTTAATTGGCTAATTGGCGTTTTGTAAGCTTTACAAGAAATCTTTACAAGAAGCTACATGAGAGATATAGGTACAGTTATGGCGTCTATAAAGCAATACAATAAGTTCGATTTCTTTCATTGATTACGGTATATAGAGAAATACGCGTTGAATGTTTATTTGTTCTTAATCAATGTAATAAGGGCGGATAACTTAAGAAATATTCATCTGTCTGTCTATTCTTATGCGCATAATAGATTTCCATATAGGTTCAGTTACATGCGTATATTAAAATCTTTTCCGTTACACATTATTTTTAATTTGATTTGATTTTAAAATTATAAAAAGACAAAGAAATTACGGGATAAAAGGAAATCTCTAATTGATATGCAATTTTAATGAGAGGAAATTGAGAGGCCAATGTAACATTCAAAAGGAAGTTCTTGCTTCTGATCTACAAACCAGCAGACGCAGAATTCAATTAAGCCCAATTTTTCTTTCAACTTAAAGTTGTTGTTTTAGGCACAATTTGCAATCTTGAGATCATAAGAATATCAGGTAGTTGAATGCTAATATAGCGCCTATGTGTGGGCTCTGAAAAACAAGTAATAAATATGAAAACACTTTCAATTGAATTCATAAAAATGATTTTGACGGCTATCATTATTTTGTTTTCTTATATTTTTAGTGGTGGTGGCACGACGGTTACCAAAGTTCCCGTACAAGCGAAACGTAAGGCCACAGATTCTCTATCCAAAGAAATTAGGATTGAAACTAAACGTTTTAAAGAGTAAAGTGATTGTATATATGTCTGTCTTAGGTATAATTTCAATACAGATTTTTTTTAAATAAATTATTAATTTGATACTTAGAAAATATTTTTCTTGTATATACTTTCATAATTTTGATACCTATTTTAAATAAGTGAACTTAAAGAAAATTTATTTATAAGTTATCCGTATGCTTCAAATAAAGGAAAAGGTTCTTTTGTTTTTCACAGATGAAGCAATTACGTGGTTATGTGTTGTTTCTGAATAATGAAAAGTTGGCAAATGTTTTTCTTAGATTAAATAAAAAATATATCGAAATCACCCACAAAGTTCTGTCAAGCGTATTAAAAGGAGGCCTGAAAACGATTGATAGACGAAAGCAGGATATCTGATTATGGGTTGCGCTTGACTGAGCTTTTTTGACTTTTCTGCGTTGTTGTGCTTGTAGCACATTTGTCAAACATTCCTACAGTATTTATGATGCAAATAAAACTTTTCCCTATCACTGAATGTAACATTTTCGAACTCTTCCTTCCAAAAGTTATAATTGTCGGCAAATGCGTTTTTATGGCGCTGAGTTACACATGGTTTGACCATTTTGTCTTCATATCTAAGACCTATATTGTTCTTAAGTTGCTGCATACTGTAGCGTGATCGCATACGGTCATATGCATCCACTTTGAAGTGCGACATTTGCATAATTCTGTAGCAAAAAAAAAAAACAAAAATATTGTCGCACTTCAACTGGCTGAGTATTGCATTACGAAATGCAATACGATGCCAGGCGCCCCATATTTAATATTAAACACCTTCTATAACACCCGCCCACACAATGATCCCACCCAAGAACAACACTTCAGCTTTCGAGGCAGAACACGGCACATCCTTCTTCATCCCCTTGAACTTCGAACACGCCCATCCGCTATTTGTTGGCGACGACGTCAACACCATTGATTACCAGGACGTAATCAAGGAACGCATACATAGACAGCAGTTCCGTGCCGATGAACAGAACGAATACAAAAAAAAAAATGCCAGCCGCCCCAATTAATTAGTGATTACGTTAGCATGTCACATGGTAGAATTAAATATAAATATTGCCAATTTAAATAAGGAACTTAGTTATAATACAATTCAAACAACAAGCGTCTAACTCGCTCGTAAACCAAAGGCGTTCAATCCGCCTAAGCATAAAGTTTAGGGACCGTATCTTGCCGAGACTTATTAGCATCTTAAGAGACGGACAGACTTGGCGCTTATTAAGCCGAGCAGAGTAGGAAAACAACTTACACCTCGTCCTACTAAAAGTACACTTTGGGAAAGATTCATAGGGAATCTTCCCATAAATAAGTATTTGTACGCATTCAAACTTTAATTCATTACAATATTTTGTCTTATTACATTTAGACCTAATTCTACCTTTATTTTCTTGCAAATCATATTTTCATTAGTTGCGAAATGTCGAATATGCCTCTTAATCTATAGTTGGGATGCTCTCACCGTGCTTAACGCAACCATAGTCCAGGTCTTTCCGAAAATTTGAGTCCGTATTGCGTTGCCGGCTTGTCGCAACTGCGCTCTCGCCAATTTTCTTGCTAGCAAGTTTCATTTGTTCAATTTTCTCGCGCTGCACATTTGAAAGCCCACTACCATGTCGTAATTTCAACTAATATAGAAATAATGCTATGAACACAATTTTTTTTTAAACATTCCTTAGAAATCTCCTTCTACGAGGAGATATTTTCTGTAAAAAACAAACAAACAGAAAATCGAACAATGAAAATCGCACATGTAATTATTTTTATCGAGTTGCGAGCTTACTACGATAATCACAGGGTATCATAATAAAGACGAACGAAGCAGTAAGTAACGTGACAAAGAGAGAGTGTGCATACTTAAAAAACGTATTGCATACACCAAAACAAAATATGGTTGATTTTGGATGGAATGAATTGAATTATATTTGCACATGTAATTATTTATCAAGCGAATGTCGGAAGGGCGAAATTTTCCATTTCTCAGAGCATGCAGAGTTGCAAAGTACGTAAAGTTATTTATTTATTGGCAAATACAAGAGAGTCATAAAATTCTATCAAATTGTCCTAAAAGTAATATATGGAACTTGTTTATTTGCTTCATTGTTATCACCTGTTGTTTCTATTATTATTATTATTGTTTACGTTATGGCGTGAGAAAGAATTTAGTTGGATGAACATTAAAAGTAAGATAAAAAGTTTTTACCTAATGGCTTACATGTTAAAGTTATTATGTTTCACATCGCTAAACCTAAATTATAAATTTTAATTTTTCTTATATGTGAATATTAAGATGTAGCGAGAGGCAGAGAGAGAGAGAGAGAGAGAGAAGCAAAGAGATTTAAAATTAAGCAATTTTAACTTTGTTAACATAACAATAGCAGAATCATGTTTTGACATATACCTGTACAGAGAGATTTGGAGAGAGCAGAGCAAATTTGAACATAAGTGAAATTAAACTCTCAGCCATGAAAGATATTAAAGAAAACAATTGAAGTGCGGGGGAGAATTAAATAATATTGCGATTGTAATAAAATGTTATCGCTAAAGAATATGTAGAAAACGTTTAGCAAACAAGACTTTTGACGCAAAAATAAGAGAAGTCCTCTTAAATATTTCAAACAATACTCCCACCGTATTGGTGGGAGTATTCAAGTGGCTCTATATAATGTTTTGAAATTTTTCCCGTTTTTTTGGGCTCGCATGTCAATTTTTTGACTTAGCGAGCGAAGACTGGGCGACAATGTACACACAAGTCTATTTCTGAATATAACTCGTAAAGATTGGTAGAAAAAATAAAACTTATTCAAAGTTTAAGTCTTCTCTATCAGTTTTGGACATTAGTTTCCTTGTTGGCAGGAAGTATTTCTGACTAGCAAAGTCATTTGATGTTCTTGGTTTTCGTTAAGGAATTCAAAAATTTACATATATGTATGTTTTTATAGAACTCTAACATGCGATGCATTCTCTTCCTGAGTACATGCAAAGCAAAAGTGAGACATTTTCATACATTTTCGGGTAAAAGTAGAATTGAAATACCCATCATTTCGCTTCGAACAGCTTGACTAAATAAAAATAAATTTGCAATTATTTTAGATAAAGAGATGTACTTAATTTTGTTTCCCTTAAGATTATTATTATTATTATTAATTTAGCCGGAAGATAAATTCTAAGATTAAACTGTTAAAGCACGAGCATGTAAGGCGATCGGCTTTATTGAAAACTCTTGAGAGAGACTTGAACTTGAGACTTGGGCTTCTCAATAATTTATTGTCGAAATTACAAACCAACAAAAAATAGAAGGGAACAAAGACTCCAAATTCCTCCACTCATAGTTTTCCTGATGACAAACTAGATAATAAATGTATTAAACTCTCATTATGGTGGTGAGTTCATGAGCAAACCGCTATAGATTCTACAACCATATCGAACCTCAGTCAGTCAGTTTAGTCAGCTCAGTCAGTTTCAAAGCCGTGTTTTTACTGTGAGCACACGCATTTAACGCATTTAGTTTGCGAATCTGACTAAATTAAATACGGATTTTAGAATAATGTCTCAGCAACCTGTTGCTTTATTAACGCGTAAAGAGTGCTTTAGTGCGAGTCATCGTTTACATAGGTACTTTCTCTCTTAATTTCTCCTTTCACTTTCGTTTAGTAAATATTTTTGTTTCATTTTTATTACTCATCTCATTTTCTATTGCATTTGCTTAATTTCTGATTTGGTGTCAATTTGCGAAAATGTTTGTTAGCAAACATTTAAGTGATGAAGAAAATGCTCAAATTTATGGTAAATGTAACAATCCGAATGGGCATGGACATAATTACACAGGTAATTAATTTTATATATTATTAAGTATAATTATACAGGTAGTTGAAACTTCCTTTAGCTAACAATTGGCTAAGCAAATGCTTCCGTTGTTGTTATATTATTTTATGACCCTGTATGAATATAATACAATACATGTTGGGCTTGTGTTCTGTTGTTTTTATACTGAACACCTAACTGTGGTAGAGAGTATATTAAGTTAGTGCGGGCGTACGTAGCACGTAGAAGGGCTTAAAGTAGACTCACTTTTTATTATACCGATTACTTTTTATTATACCTTCAGAATTATAATCCGAATTGATCTAAGCTTGTCTGTCCGCCTGTGCGCTTCATATTTGTTGATGTAAATTAGTGTTCAAGCTACAGGTTGCAATTTCTGAAATATTTCAGTAAAATTTAATCCAAGAATGAACTCTATTGAAAATGGTTCGGGTCGGTCCACTTTTTCGACCAGTCCCCATATAACGCCATATCTAACTTTGGACTGGCTGTGGCAACTTTTGAACCCCCTCTCATATAACAAAAGCTGAAGCTCATACGACAAACAGGCGCAATTTCCTATGCTTCATCATAAAAATTATATCATAATAGTAATTTAACATGAAAAAATTAACTATAGCTATTTTTTGCATCCTAACCTACTAAGAATTTTGATGAAAATTCTTCAAAGATTTGAGGAGAAGAAAAGTCAAAGTTTTAATATGTGGTGATGAAAATTAATATATAATAATAATATTAATGTGGTGCAGAGTATTTAACGGATACCTCGTCCGACTACAATGTTCTCATTTGCTTTTTTTGTTTTTGTTAAAAAAGCGTGTGTACTTTATAAGTTTTATGGTCTATTTAAAATACATCAAAGTGATTATCACATGAAAAACCGCAACGGTTATTTCAAGTAGAATATGGTGTACACTTCATTTCATGTTTTTCGAGTAGACCCGAAATCTTTCACATCGTCAAAATTCGTTTAAATTTTTTTTATGCCTGTAAATTAGGAATTGAGGGCAAGTTTTACTAAATAAAACCCATTAATGCGAAGTGAATCTCAGAATTATCTGTTGATTATTGAAAAAAAAAATATGATTCGCCTTTGGGTTTGAAAGTCAATGCACTTCTTTCTTATCAGGCAGCTACAGGTTAGAAAATGTCTAACTGTAGCTAATGTTCATGATGATTTTCTCAACGGAATGCACATTCGTTACGCATACAGCAAATCAATATTATCTCTGAGTGAAGTTTTGACCGGTGGAATTCTTCATTCTTAATCTTCAGACCGTTATCAACTTTAAAAGCTGATCGTTGAAAGTAGGTTATGTATACACAGATGCCCCAAATAGTTTGTAAGACTGAAACGAGACTATTAATAGATGTGATGGCGATATAATATAAGATACAAGTAACTAAATGTTAATGCCATCTCTAGGACGATACCGATAGTTGAGAAAACTTTAAATAAATTTATCAACTAATTCAGGTTTGCATCTTCAATTTTTAAAAAGAAACAATGTTGTAATAAACAGAAAGTCTTCTTTAAGGTTTTTAATGGACAGACTTGCGCAAAACACGCAAAGAAAACTGAGTAATGTTTAGAATGAGTTAGTGACTCCTTGCAGTTCCGGCTCGGTAAGCATTCTTACCTCGTTTCGTTGTTCGTGATATTACCATATTAACGAAAAACATCAAAAGACTGTCTATAATGCATTCACGGTATCACCCTCGTACTTGGTCACTAAAAATGTAAAGTTAAGCTTTTATGCATCTTCTATATTGTTGTCGCCTTTCATTGTTTCTACGTAATTGCATTTGGATTTTCTATGTGGAACATAAATGAATTTCCTTGAATTTTTAATTGTAATGCACGATTTAAATTCTTAGCATAATAGGTTTTATTAATTAGGTCAGCTGCATGATATTCATGAACGCATTCTTTAATTTTCACTTCAGATTTCATTGCTTTTTACTCAATGTTTTTAGTGTTATCAATGTTTTCCCCTTTAAGGTATATGCATGCCTTTACTTGGCGTATACTCTATTAAGGTACCTTATTCCACTGGGATCAACTCTTCAAACTCGAACTCATCTCTAGAAATGTTTTACTTACGTTTATTGCTAATACCTCTCACTAGTTAATAGTCAGCAACGAAGTCGACTGCGGATATAGTTTTCTGCCTTATTATTCCCTGCACCATTTGTGATATAATTTTTGTTATACATATTGTATAGTATAGTGTATCAGTTTTGTTGTGTTATATAGTACGGGTTTTATGTATAATATAGGTGTTATATAGAATATAAAGTTTGTATGAACAACATTCAGCTTTTATTATACCGATCGATAAAGAAAGGGATTCTAAGCTTGCCTTTCTGTCTGTCCGTCTCATCGCTCGCCATGCATTTTTGTATTTAATTTACAGGTCGGAACTTTTGAATTTCATTCTACAGATCGATACAGAAAGCGATGCTGTCTGTCTGTCTGTCCGTCTGACAGCCAACAACATAATTTTGCATTTAACCTACAGGTCGGAATTTTTGAGATATCTCGATGAAATCTGGTACAACAAACGTTTTCTTGTCCCCTATAAGAACGGTATTGAAAATGGTTCAGATCGGACCATTTTTTCAACAACTTCCCATATAACGCTTTGTGTAAAAAACTCGTTATATGAATAACAGTATTAAACGACGTGGTGTGGGGTATTTGATAGTCTGACGTGGCTCACCATCATATTTTCACTTGATATTTTATATTTAATTTTCTCATCTTTTTCAGTTGAGGTAACTGTTCGCGGTCCCATAGAAAAGCGTACCGGTATGGTTATGAATATAACTGATATAAAATTGGCAATGGATGCGGTTATATTTAAGCAACTCGATCATAAAAACCTCGATAAGGATGTGGATTATTTCAAGGACTTGGTAAGCTAAATAATAATATAGATCTTTATACTCACTTTACGGAAAAGAAAGTCAATTGGGTTTTCTCATATTCAGGTAAGCTGACTTTATAATGCATTGATATTATTCTTGATTTAATCAAGTCTGTCTGACTTCTCTTGATAATTCTATAAGACGCACTGCACTGGACGATAAGATGCTCTTCAAATTTATAAGGCGATTTTTAGAAAAACGTATTTTAATGTTACCTTCGGATCAAAATTTTTATTTATTAATAACATAACTCGTAGTAGCAATATTCAGTTCGCACCTCGAATGTTATGAAAAAAGATTTTAATGTTACCTTCGAACCATAAGAAGCAATCAAAATTTGAGTCCATTATTTTATGTAAATAGGTGCGTCTTATAATCCGAAAAATGCGTTTATTGACAATAACTTACATTTTATTGAGAACTTAAAAAAGGGAAACCTTTGATATAAATGTTATTTTTTTTATTCTTCTAATTTTATTTAAAGCCTAGCACCACTGAAAATCTAACAATTTTCATTTGGGATAATATACGTGATAAATTGAAATACGCAGAACTTCTATATGAGGTGAAAGTGTACGAAACTGATAAGAACTCTGTTACCTATCGTGGACCGTATCCGTATAACAATAATCAATATTTGCAAAATAAACGTTCATCTAAAACTAGCTGCACAAATATATCGTCAGATTCTGATTAAAGACGGCATACAATAAATCGATAAGAGACAACCAACCAAAGGCAACAGCGGCGACGAGAATTACTATGTAAAATAGTTTATAAATTTTGATTAATAAAAACACATATACAAATAATACACAAAGCTTCCATTCGATGTTTCTTGCATATTTTTTGGCTTTGATTTTATTCTTTGGATTTAAAATTGACAATAGTTTGATTTTTTTCTTTTTTTCTCTCAGGATAAAATTGAATTTTTGTATTTAGTAAGATAGATATAATAAAGCTCACGTTTGTTTGAATTTATGAAAAGGAATTGAGCAACAGTTTTGATTGACATACGTACAAACGTAGGCATGCAAGAATATAAATGCTAGAATATAGAAGGAAAAATTTTCTAGTTATTTGTATTGTATGCTTTCCTGAAAAATAAGTCTACAATTTACGCCATAAAAGTATATACGCGTGTACATGTTGTACGTAAATATTCTTTTGTAGACATTATATACTAATTAAGCTTATAATTTTTTTTTTTTTATTCAATTAAAATTTCTAATATAACGTTTTTCAATCACAACAATATTTGATATTGAGTTTCATTTTGATATAACGTTACGTTTGTGCATCGTTCATTAAATAGCTAACTATGTTTTATCTCAACTATATATTTATAATAGATTTTTAATAAACTTTTAATTATCAACTATTATATTTAAATATTTGATATAATAATGAAAATTACTAAATATAAATTTGCATTTTTGACTAAATAACAATAAAGTATGTCTTTCAACTTAAAATATATATCAAGAGGTCCCTAAGTATGTTGACTACTATTTTCTTTTAAATTCTAACTCCTGAAATATTAATTTCGTTAACTTATCACTTGAAGGACATTTTTTAAAGTAAAAAATTTCTCACTTCTTAAATATCACTTTTGTAATGTGCTCCCGGATTTTGTATACTTATAAAAGGTATGCCAAACTCAAATTCATCAACTGGCCAATATTTCAATAGCGGCTGACGCTGAGGCAATTCATTCTCTACGTAGAAATAAGCGTAAACTACTAGCACCGTATACGATGCAATAAAAATGAACACATGCCAAAATCCATGTAAATATGGAAAACTAATCGCTGACCAGACATCGCAAAACATTCGATCGTTAATCCAGCAAAATACTGCTATTAACCATACAGCAGTTGATCTTAATCCTAGGCGATAGACTCGCTGATCTCGTACTCTAAAAAGAAGAAAAGAAAAAAATAAATCTTTGATTAATTAGTCACTGCTTTTCAGTCTCAAATTTAAAGTCATACGGTTTCGTTTCACATATATTTTTTGGCGATATCATGAAAAAATTGCACTTAAATCGAATGAATTTCTAACAATGTGTATTTTTATATATATCCCACAATATTTGCGGCAAGAATGCATTACAAAAATGTCTTTTATTTTTATTATCTCCAGCATGCCAAGCGCTTGCTATTCATAACATTTGCAAGTGCATAGGTCTAATCGTGTGCCAATATATGGGTAGTAAATAAATAAATGTTTTTTTCAAACTCGGCCGTCATAAGAGGAAAGGCTGATCTGTAAATTTGAACACAGCGGAACAGACAACATAAAGCCAAGCTTAAAACAGTTCAGAAAATGATGTTGAATCAATTGTCCTTAATCAATTAGAGTCCTTTTCTATCCGCAAAAATTGATTACATCCCACAGTACAGGTAATGTAATAACGTTGTTGTGATCGCAGTGTAGATACAGACATATTCTCAATTGAGAATAGTACTGTGTTTGTGTACGCAATGCAAACAGTATTTGCACTTTTTCACCATAAAGGCTTGTAAACGATATTGCCGCGTATCCGCATTCCATATACATGCAAAATTCTTGATAATTGTATATATACGCTTATTCTCAAAAGTCGCACAATACATGTAAACAAACGTATTCAAACATTCTCAGTTGTATGGAATTTTTATTTTCTTAGTTGTTTCGAATTTGTATACAAATGGATTGAGAAGTAGGTATTGGTTGGTAATTTCTCATTAGCTTTGCGATTTTTTTTTTATTATGGGAAGATTAGTTGAGCAAAAAATTTTTATTTTAAACGAAACATTGACGTTAAAAATTTAACAGGAGGCGTTAGATGATCTGCGTCTTTCCAGTTGACCTGTAACGGTTAGGATTCAACAAAGTCATGAAGTTGTTTCCCGGAAATCGTTACAGAGTTGCTTCAACAGTTAAAGTATATTTTAAGTTCTCATATATATACTTTGATGTTCACTTGTCGTCTGATTGCTTCCGAAAGAGGTCTATTTTACTCGTCACTCAACCAATTTGATCCAACAAACACCGTACTCACCTGTTATAGCTCCGTCTGATTTTTTCCAGTTTCCGAAGTTAGATACCATTTTTATTTCCTATAATCAAAGAGGAAATTCGACAAGGAAGCTAAGGACAATATCTCAGTCCGCCAAAGATAAATTCATTGTATGCTGGCAAAAACGCTTTGCTAAGATGCGTTCGAATTTAAAGGTGACAAAATAAATTCTGGGCAATGTATTATCTTTTTCTTTTCAAAAATTTTAGAATGAAGTGACGATGATAACGTCCTTACGTGCACATTTTTCTTGTCTTTTTGGATCAGTTCGTGAGAATATTTGCTCTTCGTCGGCATAGAAATTTTGCATATTTTCGTTGTCTTTAAAATGAGGAAAATGTTTGGTAAAAAATATGTTACTATAATGTTTTCAGTTACCTTTTTAATTCCTTATATAACATATACATGGTTGGCACGCCCATAGCCATCAAGACAAAAGCATTGACGATAGGTTTCCAGAGAGAAAGTCCTGTTGCCGTTACAGCAGAAATAAACATTAAAATACTAAATACCCGCCTAAAATAAAAAACAAAAAAAAAAAAAAAAAAAATTTAATTCTATTAGAAAACTAATACATTTTATAACCAAAAGTTAGTGATAGTAATAACAGGTAGATAATGTCGCCATTAAAAAACAATTATATTAGCATTAATCTAAATAAATTATTTTTTATATACATACGTACATATCTTAAACATACGTAGATAATTGTAAAGTGCGTGAGTTTTGCCATAAGTAATTTGTATTGGATGTAAGTGACTGTTAAGTGTTGTTTGCCTATCATGAAACGATCGATATCAATTGTTATTAATTGGCTGTGAATTTATGCATTCATTCTATAATAGTATATATGAGAACGAGCGTAAAATGAAATTATTTACCTGTTTTTATTACAAAACTTAGGATAATAACGTTTAGGGCAAAATAGCGAATAAGCAGCCATAAAGACCCATAGAATCGCGAGCTCATCAAGCAATTGCCCCAACAGACTTAAGGTTGCATGAAAGTACATGGAGCTGAGGCCCACTATAATCAATAAAGTCCATACTAAATGTATGCCGGGTGTTACGAAACGACCATAGTCTTTGAATAGACACATTAATATTGGCGGTAATAAAATAAATAAAAAATTGCTTATCTGCGAATGAAAGAAAAGGAAAAAATTTTCATCGATTATGGCAAATATTATAACTATTAAAAATATATTAATGCAATTATTTCGAACGTTTAATCAAAATCAAGCAATCTATCATTTAATCTATCATAAATGTCGTAAATATTTGCATACTTTAGGGGGAAAAGAAGTAAAAACACTATAGTAGTAGTAGTAGTAATAGTAGTAGTAGTAGTAGTAGTAGTCTACGGCGCACCATTAAATACTCTAAACCACTTCACTTTATACAATTATTCATATAATAACTTTTCAAATGAAAGTTTTATGTGAGAAATGATTGAAGAATTGGTCCGATCCGAACCATTTTCGCTAGCGTTCTTTCTGGGAACTAAAATATAATGTTGGCGTACCAAATTTCATGAGAATGTCTAAAAAATTTGTAACCTGAACGTTGAACACAAAAATACATAGGCAGACGTGAGACGGACAGACAGATAGAATCATTTTCTCTATCGATTTGCATAATTAAATTCAAAACTTTCGACCTTCAAGGTAAAAGCATAAATACGTGGGCAAATAACAGACCGACAGATAAAAAGAAAAGCTTAGAATCATTTTCTGAATCGATGAATATAATAAAAGATCGATCTATCACTTACATAAGATAGACGTATATCCGCATTGTAGGAGTTTCTGAGAGTGTTAGGCCGATAAATAACAAATGTTTTTTTCACTAGGAATGTAGACAAATTTACTAACACATATTTTCTACCGTCTCTTTTGTAGATTTGATTGTTGAACCTAAAACATAATGAAATCGTCGCATGTCTCCCCCTTTCGTCGCTTGTTTTGAGTCGTTACCCTCTTAAACGAATAAGGGAAATCTCTTGAGTGTTTGGTCATATTAAGGAAAAAAAAATCGATTATGTATTGTCTCCATTCTTATGACTATGCCGAAAAATCAATGAAGGATAAGAGGTATATCCATTTGATCAAAACGTTTACAACGCCAAGGAGAAAGCATCAGGGTCACCATAAAGTATATATATCGGCATCTTGATCAGCATCAAATTCTAAATCGATTTAGGCACGTCCGTTTGTCCGTGTGTGCAATGTCCGGTGCAAACATTCTCTTGGCTGCAAAAATGAAACTGTCGACTTCAAATTTGGCAGAAACATTGGAAGTTCAAGCATGCAGCATTTTATTGAAAATGGGCCAAATCGATCGAAGGACATACCCGCAGCGTTACGTAAACTGGGAACACTTCTCTTTTCTGATAAATGTACAAACTTTGAACGCATTTTCAATGGGCGATGGCGTAGCACCTGTACATAATTGGAAAAATTTACCAAGGACGAAGTGGAGGTGCTATTGATGCCACAAAAAGTTCAAATTTCTTGTGTTTTTCTAATAAACAAACTGGGAAGGGAATGAAAAATTGAAAAAGACTCAGCAACGAGCTTAAAAGCCTCCATAAAGTATAAAAATTCTTGGCCCGTTTCAAATTTGTAAAGTACCTAAGCATGTCTGTCTATACGTCTGTTAATCTGTCTGTCTACGCAACAAATTTGCAAAAGAATTTGGAAATGACTTAAACCTTTTCAAGGACACGCCTACCCTACGATAAAAATTTCTATTTAGAAATTAGAAAAAACCGGCACGCGCCCCCTCTCTATTATAGAACATGAAAATTAAGTTCTTTTACTTTTTTTTTCCTTCTTTTAAGATAACGGTGATGGGTATAAAGATTCGGTCATCACCGATTATAATTTTCCTTTCAAAGGTAATTTTTATGCTGCTAGATAAGTAGGAAAAAAAGTCAGATGTAATAAATAAAACATTTAACAAAATTACGTCGAAAATGTATATATTTAGGAAATGAGTACACCTTACATAGTTTATATAGACCAAAGTCCCCCGACAATATTAATTCCATTTATTATTGAAAAAAAAAAAAATAATAATAATAAATTGAAGGCTTTTTTCAATGAATAATCTTATCACTAACATATAATAAATGTCGAAATTATCGACATATCATGGTACTTTACAGCCCGTGTTTGCATTTCAAAGCGAAAGGAAATTATTCCACGACATTTTACACGGTTATGTCGTTTACCTACAATTCAATAGTTTTTCCCCTTGTAAAAAATGTATGTGCAGTGTGTGCCAATTATTGCAGTTTCATGCAATAGCTCGCAAAGAGATCAAAAATAGATGCAGCCACACAATTGTAACAATCACAAAAATTTCATATAACTTGAGACGAATTTTAAATACCTTAAAATTCATGTACCCATCATAAAGATTTATGTGAAAACGGAAAAGGGAATTTGATTGGTCTTTCCTTATGTTTATCAAAATATGAAATTGTGTTCTGTTAGTTTCGTTACCTAAAAGGAACTAATTTCGTTTGAAAAATTTCGTTTCAAAAATTAAATTAAATTTTATCTTAATGAAAAGTTAGAACGCAATCTTCCAGTTTATACCTGTGCGAATCAATCGCAGATGAGAAGGTGCTCTTGCATCCATGCAAGTTATGCGGCAATATTCGAGGAAAATTTTGATAGGATTAAAGGCCAATTATGATATTCATAGCGAACATTCTTCTTGAATGATGATAAATGAATCGGATGATGAATGTACTACGTATTGCCATTAATTCGTAGGAGAAACGTGCATGTTTTTCGTTTACTAAAGCGACATTGTGTGGCACGATTTTTAACAAGTGCGAAATTAATTAATTGCTGCGATTTAGAACGGCTACTATGACACGATATTTTTATATTATTGCTCGTAAAGCATAAAAAAATGTATTTGAAATTTTTAATAGAACTTGAGGTATGCACTTTTACTATTATGCTCATAGCATAATAAATACGACATTCTTTTCCGTAACAATATGAAATTTAGTACAATTAGCGCCATCTGTCAAACAAGACATAATTAAAGTATCTAAAGCATGACAGGTAGATACTCAAACTTATACAAAGTGGCCATGATTAGCAGCTATACTGATGTGGGAGAAAACACATCTAAAAGTTATAAAACTACCATAGACCCAAATACCGTTGAAATGAAGGCCTGAATGGATAAGACAAGCCTTTAGTTGGCGCAACAAATTTGGAAGCAGCCATCCTAATTGCGCGCGAGCTAACGGGCTCGATTGCTTTCATTTATCTAAGACAAATGCACGATGCTCTCTTTTTCCTCATTTTTTTCCGACCATCCTCATATTAGTGGCATTCTCTGAATGATTGATTGATCGTATTAGAAAACAAACAAGTAAGGAGATTGTTGTTGTTAGACAAGACCGCTTTGCCTAGTACAATTATTCACTCCTCTTGGTAATAATATACCGGAAATTGCACGTTATTTTCATGCAAAGGCATATATTTCATGAAAGCCCACATATTGGAGGATGCCGGAAGCCTAGTAAGACGTGATCAAAATTTAGCAGACTTAGCATAAAAATTTTTTTATTTTTCAATTTTTGTCACAAAAAACTGGAAATTAGACTCTCTAAGGTCTAACAAATAGACCTATATGATCCAAATGCCAAACAATATTTAAAAATATTAAAAATTTAATATCTTTCTGGCGGGCTTACTATTCACGTGACAAACCTTGTAAAGGGTGAATGCAAGAAATAGACCTATTTGGCTCAGATTTGGTCCACTCAATTTTTATGTCAAATTACTATCATGAACAAATTTTCATCACAAAATATTAACAATTAGGTCCTTTTGGCATAAAAGGGTCTACATTTCCTGAGAATTCTTATATGCGGTGATATGCAGAAAATAGACCTACTTGACGCTCCGCTGCAAATAATGGCATAAGGAATTACTTTGAAATAAAAAGAGACAAAAAATCTTGGCTTAACTTTTTTCTATCGTAGCGTATTTCTAGAGTAAATTGCTCCTTACTCCATAATGAATAAATGTATATTTTCGAATACGCAATAATTCGATTCGATTCCACTTTATATGAGCTTTTTACCACACATTTAGTAGTAAATTGTTCAAATTCTGCTCAAACACATGTGAAAATCTCATTCTTTTCGCAAATCGAGATATATAACCACCGTATAAAAGGTGATAATAGAAAGCTAACATAAAGATGTAAACGTTCATCATCATGCTAATTTGTTAAAGGGGACGCTACTATTATTTTTTTAAAGAAAATTTTCCTTTTTATTGGTTTAATAGATGCTTAGAATCTTCTGTAATTCGCTAACACCATTTCACTTAAACCATTTCAAAGTAAATGCTTCACCAAGATGATCATCGAATCGAAACGTGTTTTTCTCGAAATATGATTTTTTCAAATTCAAGTATGAGGCTAGGCTAGCGATTCGAAATCTTTTATTACTTCTCCCAAGACATGCGAAGAGTATATGTAGGGGAAGATCTTAATGTTAATTATAATTTCGCCTATACATAGAAATATAAATTTTTTTTTTACCGTTTCCTCTGGCGATTCGTTCCGCGTAAAGTGCAAAAGTACGTACTCTGCAGCAAAAGTGGCCCTTGTTAGGACAAAATCTTCGAGAAACGAGTGGAATGGGGGAGAATATTTGAACAGCTAAGGAACGTTTTATGGTATTGGGATTGGGGTTAAAACAAGAAGTTCATTATAAAAATAAGCAACAACACTATAGAAAGACATGGCTTACCATTAAACTCTCTACATCACTGCGCTTAGTACAGTTAAGCAACTAACGACTTTTAAAAATAAAGTGTTGTATGGGACGTGGTCGAGAAAGTTGTCCGTTCCGAGCTATTTCCATCAGAGCTCGCCCTTGCGTTAAAACACATCAGTGTTCCAAATATCATTAAAATATCCTAAGAATTGCGAAAAATTGTAGGTTAAACACAAGATAACAATACGGACAGACGGACGGGTAGCTTAGATCAATTTAGAAAATGATTCAGGAAATAATTCTGAATTGATATCTCAAATTATTCTGGGTGTTGCATACATCCGCACAAATTTAGTATACCCGTGTACTACGAGGGTATATTGTCTAAAACACATTTCAAATCTTTTCTTGAAATATGATTTTTCAACTTTAAAACAAGGTTTTCGAGTGAAACGTGAAGAATTTTTCTGGATAAGTTAATTTCTACCCTATTTATTAGCAAAAATTTGACTTTTTTGCCGGAAATTGAACTCTTGAAACTAGACACAGTTGTCCACTGGCTATAAATTAAAACCATTTCCGCCAACTATTTGAGGAAGCTCTTAACACCTTAAATTTTTATTTCACTAACTTGACCTTTCGTTCCAAGTAAACGTGTGTAAGTCATTGGTATGAAGTTGTGCTAACCAAGAATGCTAAAGTATGGCAGCAGTAGACCAATAATAGATACCCTGCACTACTTCACTTAATTAATAATACATCAATAATTATACTGTATTTATATGAAAGTGCCTAATTTCCATGGAAATCCTCATATTGGGCCATACACAAACGTCAACGTGGCAAACTTTGTATATACTTGTCAAAGATTTTATTATTTTCTTGTTGCTTCCGTCATAATAAGCCACAAATTAGGCTTTGTCGCTATAGAAGGGTTTGCTTTCAAGAGACTATGGTGCGATCTATCAAGTAGATCTATGTGAACCAAATTCTCTATGGTTGATTTACTAAGGACAAATTTTCATTATACAATATCTTAACTTTTTGACATTTAAAGGCTTATTTCTCATTGACACTGTTACACTGTTACATGTTGCGATCCAAACAGTGGACATATGTGATCCAAGGTGGGTAAGGTTAACTTTTCGTGTCAAATTATTATGATGAATGAACTTTCATCAAGAAATATTGAAAATTAGAAAGGGTTATAGGGCAAAGGGGTTCAAAAATTGCCCCGTTTGATCCGAAGTTTTCACATCAAGTTAGAATGTGGAAATACTATTACTAAACGATTTTTCCTGCGAAATTCAAAAAATTAAAACATTTTGATTTATAACGACTTAAGGCGCCGAAAAAGTCGTCCGATCCGAAGCATTTTCACGTCAAAATTCGTCACTGCATTAAATTGCATGAAAATGTCTCGAAAACCGCGATCATTTGATATCCGACAGACAGACAGACAAACTGGTATAATAAGAGATGCATCCATATCGGATTCTTCTGCCTGTTACAATCGTCCACACAACGTTAACATATGCTGTAACACAAGTGGTGTAGGGTATACACACGAATTTGATTTCACTGTTAGTCTTTAAACTTTTTTGTTTATGAAGTACACACACGAGTAATTGGCACACGTTTGTATGCGTAATAAAAATAAGTGAAATTTCTTCTTTCAGATTAAATTTGAGAAATATAAAATATTACAAAAGACTCCATTCGGTATAAGTTAAATGTTTGACTAATCATCGTCCGGCTGCTCTTTGTTCTTGTTAATGAATACACTTTAAGCCTGATGTTGTTTTTTAACGCTTTAAAAACTTTTAATTGTTTAATCATTTTATTATCGATGGCGAATGTACTCACTCAACATAAACAGAGTAAAATTTCGATGTTGCACAATTAACTTATTACGAC